CTATCCGACTGTCCACCACTTTTACAACTTCAGTCTATCCGACTGTCCACCACTTTTACAACTTCAGTCTATCCGACTGTCCACCACTTTTTACAACTTCAGTCTATCCGACTGTCCACCACTTTTACAACTTCAGTCTATCCGACTGTCCACCACTTTTACAACTTCAGTCTATCCGACTGTCCACCACTTTTACAACTTCAGTCTATCCGACTGTCCACCACTTTTACAACTTCAGTCTATCCGATTGTCCACCACTTTTACAACTTCAGTCTATCCGACTGTCCACCACTTTACAACTTCAGTCTATCCGACTGTCCACCACTTTTACAACTTCAGTCTATCCGACTGTCCACCACTTTTACAACTTCAGTCTATCCGACTGTCCACCACTTTTTACAACTTCAGTCTATCCGTTTGTCCACCACTTTAACAACTTCAGTCTATCCGACTGTCCACCACTTTTACAACTTCAGTCTATCCGTTGTCCACCACCACCACTTTTATCTAACTGTCAGTTTATCTTCAGTCTATCCGACTGTCCACCACTTTTACAACTTCAGTCTATCCGACTGTCCACCACTTTACAACTTCAGTCTATCCGACTGTCCACCACCACTTTTACAACTTCAGTCTATCACGACTTTGTCAGTCACCACTTTTACAACTTCAGTCTATCCGACTGTCCACCACTTTTACAACTTCAGTCTATCCGACTGTCCACCACTTTTACAACTTCAGTCTATCCGACTGTCCACCACTTTTACAACTTCAGTCTATCCGACTGTCCACCACTTTTACAACTTCAGTCTATCCGACTGTCCACCACTTTTACAACTTCAGTCTATATCCGACTGTCCACCACTTTTACAACTTACAACTTCAGTCTATCCGATTGTCCACCACTTTTACAGCTTCAGTCTATCCGACTGTCCACCACTTTTTACAACTTCAGTCTATCCGACTGTCCACCACTTTTACAACTTCAGTCTATCCGACTGTCCACCACTTTTACAACTTCAGTCTATCCGACTGTCCACCACTTTTACAACTTCAGTCTATCCCGACTGTCCACCACTTTTACAACTTCAGTCTATCCGACTGTCCACCACTTTTACAACTTCAGTCTATCCGACTGTCCACCACTTTTTACAACTTCAGTCTATCCGACTGTCCACCACTTTGGTTGGTCAACCATGTCATTTTATGAACTTCTCAGCTCAGTACGAAATAATGCCCACAACATTTTGGAACTTTCAGCCTGTTCTGACGTCTCATCATTTTAAAGAACTTCGAAGTCTGATCTATTTGCCTCCAACAGTTTCTTATGGAATTGGTCTTTCATTCCTATCAGTCTGCTCAGCTTTTAGTTCTCTTAGCTCAAGGTCCTGAGAATGCAGTCTCAATTACTTTTTACAGTTCATCCATCAGTCTGTTTGATAGCTTTATGGGTAATTTAGTCCCAATGTGTTCAATTACTTTTATGGTTCTTGAAGTTTGTCCTGACAGCCCACCATGGGTAATTAGTCAAGGCTAAATAAATATTCACTGTTTTATGGTTTATTTTCCAATCAGTTTGGTCTGAAATTTCTTAAAATTAAATTGGTCTGAATTACCACAATGGTATAATTTCGGGGTTTATATCCTAATGTATCTAGTTGTTTTATTTTGGAGGCAATTTCTCGAATGGATCCTATTTGTTCATATTTCTTTTATAGGAATTTCAGCCTGGGATTCCATATACCAGTTCATCATTTTTAAAGAATTTCAGTTTGAATCGAATGTATCAATTATGCTTTAATGTTTCTGAGTCATTTGAATGTTCATCATTTTATGTAATTTGAAGAAGTCTTGAATGGTCTGTTTTGGTAGTGGAAATTTAGTTCATGTCCCATTGTCTCAATTACTTTTGTGTTCGGTTTGGTTCTAATTGTTTCATTTTTTGTAATTTTCTGAAGTCTGTCTTAATTGCATTCAATATTTTAGAATTTTGAAGCCTTATGTCTCAGAAAATGTGGTTCAATACTTTTAATTTCTTTGGTTCATTCTTACGGGTGCCCATTGACATGTATGTGGTTTTCATTCATTTGCACCAATGATATTTCTTGGTCTCCTTTCGAAGCTCATCCCGAATGGTGTCTGTTTCATTTTATGGTTCTTTTGAAGTGCCTTATCCGAATGTCTGTTTTTATAATTTCTTAGTTCGTCTCATTTCAGCCTACCATTTTGTATAATTTCAGTCTTAGTCCAATGGTATTCATTTTCAAGTTCGAATAGCCTTTCATTACTTTTGTAATTTCTTTAGTTCATAATATTGCGTCTTGTGTACTGTTTTGCAGAATTTTCTTAGTTTATCCGTTGGTCCAATATTTCTTTAAAATTGAAGCTCAATCGTAATGTCATTTTTGGTGTGTTTCTTTTGTCGGTATTTGGTTTATGTAGGCATGGAATGCCTCAGCCTTGTTCCATGGGTTCACTTACTTTTATAATTTCAATTATGGAATGTATTCAAATAATACTTTTAGAAACTTTGGCAAGTCTTTTGGCATTCCTAATGGTTTTTTCACATTTTAGGGTTTTGAAGTTTCATATTCGAATGGCCCATTGGTATGGAACTTTCAGCTTGGTTTTATTTACCAGTGTTCTTTCAGTTCCATTGTCTTCGTTTCATATATTTTAAAGGGTTGTCCACCACTTTTACAACTTCAGTCTATTCCGAACTGTCCACCACTTTTACAACTTCAGTCTATCCCGACTGTCCACCACTTTTTACAACTTCAGTCTATCCGACTTTTGTCCACCACTTTACAACTTCAGTCTATCCGACTGTCCACCACCTGAGTCATTCATTTACAACTTCAGTCTATCCGACTGTCCACCCACTTTTACAACTTCAGTCTATCCGACTGTCCACCACTTTTTACAACTTCAGTCTATCCGACTGTCCACCATTTTGTCTTTTTACAACTTCAGTCTATCCGGATTGTCCACCACCTTTACAACTTCAGTCTATTCGACTGTCCACCACTTTACAACTTCAGTCTATCCGACTGTCCACCACTTTTACAACTTCAGTCCTATCCGACTGTCCACCACTTTACAACTTCAGTCTATCCGACTGTCCACCACTTTTACAACTTCAGTCTATCCGGACTGTCCACCACTTTTACAACTTCAGTCTATCCTGATGCCCACCACTTTTACAACTTCAGTCTATCCTTGCAGTCTATCTGATCGTCCACCACTTTTACAACTTCAGTCTATCCGTTTGTCCACCACTTTAACAACTTCAGTCTATCCGACTGTCCACCACTTTTACAACTTCAGTCTTTCCGACTGTCCACCACTTTTACAACTTCAGTCTATCCGACTGTTACAACTTCAGTCTATCCGACTGTCCACCACTTTTACAACTTCAGTCTATCCGACTGTTACAACTTCAGTCTATCCGACTGTCCACCACTTTTACAACTTCAGTCTATCCGACTGTCCACCACTTTTACAACTTCTGTCTATCCGACCGTCCACCAGTTTTACAACTTCAGTCTATCCGACTGTCCACCACTTTTACAACTTCAGTCTATCCGACTGTCCACCACTTTTACAACTTCTGTCTATCCGACCGTCCACCAGTTTTACAACTTCAGTCGATCCGATTGTCCACCACTTTTACAACTTCAGTCTATCCGTTTGTCCACCACTTTTACAACTTCAGTCTATCGGAATGTCCACCACCTTTACAACTTCAGTCTATACGACTGTCCACCACTTTTACAACTTCAGTCTATCCGTTTGTCCACCACTTTTACAACTTCAGTCTATCGGAATGTCCACCACCTTTACAACTTCAGTCTATACGACTGTCCACCACTTTTACAACTTCAGTCTATCCGACTGTCCACCACTTTTACAACTTCTGTCTATCCGACCGTCCACCAGTTTTACAACTTCAGTCGATCCGATTGTCCACCACTTTTACAACTTCAGTCTATTCGACTGTCCACCACTTTTACAATTTCAGTCTATCCGATTGTCCACCACTTTTACAACTTCAGTCTATACGACTGTCCACCACTTTTACAACTTCAGTCTATCCGACTGTCCACCACTTTTACAACTTCAGTCTATCCGACTGTCCACCAATTTTACAACTTCAGTCTATCCGACTGTCCACCACTTTTACAACTTCAGTCTATCCGACTGTCCACCACTTTTACAACTTCAGTCTATCGGAATGTCCACCACCTTTACAACTTCAGTCTATTCGACTGTCCACCACTTTTACAACTTCAGTCTATCCGACTGTCCACCACTTTTACAACTTCAGTCTATCCGACTGTCCACCACTTTTACAACTTCAGTCTATCCGACTGTCCACCACTTTTACAACTTCAGTCTATCCGACTGTCCACCACTTTTACAACTTCAGTCTATCCGACTGTCCACCACTTTTACAACTTCAGTCTATCCGACTGTCCACCACTTTTACAACTTCAGTCTATCCGACTGTCCACCACTTTTACAACTTCAGTCTATCCGACTGTCCACCACTTTTACAACTTCAGTCTATCCGATCGTCCACCACTTTTACAACTTCAGTCTATCTGATCGTCCACCACTTTTACAACTTCAGTCTATCTGTTTGTCCACCACTTTACAACTTCAGTCTATCCGACTGTCCACCACTTTTACAACTTCAGTCTATCAGTCCGTCCTCCTGACTACTGTATTCCTTATTATTTTGTTTTCTGTAAATGCCAGTTTGCTGACTTGGAATGTTGCAATAGTAATTCTTACACTGTATTTTGTTCATAGAAAGAGTTGTATTAGCGTAATGTGAAATCCTTTACTCCTTGGAATGTAAACATACGTTCATTGCCATGGTATCATAGCTAGTAGTATGGAAGTACTCTTGATATGGGGACAACATCAACTTTTGTTGGCATGAGTATTGACAGCTGTCAGTATGCTGAGCACAACGACCATTTTGTGTGTTCCAGACTGAGACTACTGAGCTGCATGCCCCCGCCGGTCTCCTCAGCAGTTCTACTCACAAAAGCAGCCGGTGGGAATGAGGTTAGCACGTTCTTCATGCATTATTGTAATACTGACCTTTTTACGTATATTTTGTCTTATCATTAGTATTAAACTTGAAACCATCCCCCAGCAGTTTACCAACTATATTAATGCTATACTCACCTAACACGCTTCTCATGTCCCAGGGTACAACTAATGTACAAACTGGACTTGGGCCCTGGAAGAATCTCTGCTCAGAAATCATTAGTCAATGTTTTCAGTTGTTGTAAGGATAATTTTCCTTCTTTGCAATGAGGTAAGGTGTCTATTTTGTAAAAAAATGTTACCTGATAACAACAAACGAAAAATCTTTTTTGGGGTTAGGTGTCAGTGGTAATTGCCCTGGCCATGTCCTACCAGGAGACAAAGATAATACTTATTGTTATCCTGCTTACTGCGGGACAGTAAAGGAATAAGACATGGACTTCTCTCTCTCAGGAATTTAGTTTTCACATAGATATTTGCGTAATTTACGCAGATACACAGCTTGTCTGTACCTCTGATGGTATCTCCAAATGACTGAACCCTTCCAAGGCATTCCTAATAACTCAATCCTGTGGTTTGTTGTCATGAACTCATTGATGCTTCTTGCTTCATGACTTATGTCTCATGCCTCAAATGATAAAAAGTGAGCTGTTGTTTTGTCCATTCAGGGATGTTATTCCGTTTTCACATCTAGTGGACAATAACTAACTGGAAGTGACGTCGTCAGATGTAACATTAACTGGAAAAGATGTAATAAATCCTCCATATTATACATATGACCCCCCTTGCATATCATGTGCAAAATCAATGACACACACACCCCCACCCCCACCCTCCTATAATTTCTGAGCATAATTTTTTAATATTTTTATGTACAAAATTGCTGATCCCCCCTAAATCCCCAGAACAAAATGGGTGAGACACCCCACCACCCCCTTAAAATCGTCATCACCCCCTAGCCATAAATTATGAACGGTCCCTTACCAGTTAACGTTCAGTCACTGTTTCTTTATGATTGTCCTTCCTTTCTTGGGCTGAGGATACTCTGGGATGTCTTCTTGGGAATTTTTTAACATTGTCAACAATGATTATAATTCTTAGAATACTACCTCTAACACTTGAATCACAGAGTACCTTATAGTTATGGTGCCCTAGGAAAAAATAGCATTTGGTGGACCACAAGGAAGAAAGACGTCCTTGGATGTTAACATTTTATTTTAGCCTGTGGATTCCGAAAAATGCAATCAAGTGTAAGATGTAGTACTCTGAGAATTATTATCATTCTTGATAATGTTCAAGTCTGAGTCACACATAGAAGAAATTGTCAAATAGTGAAATGTTGTTGTGGACAATCCATGAAGATATGGGGATGAGGAACATCAGCTGGAAAAATCATGGCATCTCACACCTTATTATTGATGGCTATGGACATTATGGACAAATGTTTCCTGCCAATTCATTGCCAAGTGCTCTCCATTCTGATAGACCTATTGTTCCTAAACTTCAACACACACACCCACAGCCAAGATGGCCTTCATTGATTAACACATTGACTGCCTTTCAGGAATATACTTGTAGTATCAATTCTGGCCGAATTTGCCACTACGAGATAACACGTTGACTGCCACCCGAGTACATTCCCAGCTACATCAATGGTTTCGCGTGTTGGTAAAATAGGCTCAAGAAACAAACGTCTCCTGGCGTTCTTTGCTACCGCCAGGAGACGATTGTTTCTTGTGCCTGTTTTGCCAACATGTGAAACTTGTTTCAACATACCATTGGTGTAGCTGGGAATGTACTGGGGTGGCAGTCAAAGTGTTAATGGTTGAAACTGGAGTAACTGAGGCCCTATTTCATAACTACACTGGCTGTTTGTACCATCTAATTATGCAAATGTTTTCTTTTCCAGGCTGTTGCAGTATTTAATTCTGCACTTGGTAGTTTCTTGGTAAGTCTTTCTTTTCCTGAATTAATATATATCCATCTCTGTGAACGTTTACTTACCTTATCTCAAGTGCAAGTCATTTTAAAGAAATATACTTCCAGCTATCTCCATTTCACTTTCTTAAAGCCTGTGAGGGAAGACTTCCTGTCTTAGTTTTACTCCTCCTTGAGCAATATTTCAGCCAGATCACTGCGGGGAACACCAGAAATGGACTTCACAAATGTCTTTCAGAGAATATATTTCTTTAGGCTACAACTGGCTACAACTTATTTGCTTATCTTAGAAGATACAGATGAACTTTGGGCAAAAATGACACGGCAGAAGAAGGTGTGTGATAGTTGTAATCACATCTTTTCTTCTTTTGACACCTCCCTTCATGCGTGATTGTCTTGCCATTAGTGCATGGGATAAGTTTTCTCTGCTTGTAATCATATTAATGATGAAGATCTACAAGAAAGTTAGTTGTATGAGGGGCGTTCAAAAAGTAGTCAGCCTCACAAATGATACAAACGCTGCTGTTTTTATGTTTTAGTTTTCTGCATATTATCTGTCAACCTCAAGCAATTTGGTTTTGCTATATTCCAGCCTCACGATCCCCATTTTGTTTGACTTTATATCTTGGTACCCCCCAAAAATGCAAAATCTGCAATAAATGCATCACAAACTTCAGGAAACAAAATATGCAAGAAACGTTTTGTGTATTTGAGATAATCTGCTAGAATCAAACTTATATAATCAAGTGCATAAAAAAGCAATTTGAAACTACAATCGCTTGTAAAAGTGACTCCCTCCTTCTTGTTTACTGCAAGAGCTTGTTTTGGAGACACTACCCACCCCCTTTCAGATGACATAATCATAACGACATAACGTATTCTAATATTTTCACGTATTCCTACATGATGCCAAGGGTTCAATCTAAATACTGAATGGTCACACAAGTGTCAGGTCTCAATATATTGTAAACAGTGCCAACTTGAATATCTGGACACAATGTTTTTGAAAGATTAAATGGGGGTGTCCTTAAAAAACAGCCCCCATCTAAATATATATCAAGCAATCTAAATCTTTAATTTTTCCTTATCCTGACTCATCCTAAATGCTTGTCTCCTTCTTCTTGCGAATGATAGTGGAACACTTGAAATCCCTTGAAGTTCCCTTCTAAAAAGCGGACGTAAAATCATCACTCACCCACGAGTAGTCTCCCTTGCCTCCTTTTGGCTCCCTTTTGTATCACATGACCAGCCATGTTTGTCACTCTCTCCTTCTTCGCCCTTGACGACGGTTGTGAGAGCACCTGGGTCCCTATACGGCACATATCCTTTTCTCTTTTGGACCTTTACATCAAAATTATTGCTGTATATGGCTTTTAAGATTGTATTCTACTATATGGTTTGAAATTTGATCTAAATTATTCGTTGTTTGACATGTTTTTTCATCGTGTTTACATTTGATGAAAACTTGTATTCCTTGTAGGTACCGGCTATCTGCGGCTGACCCACATTTATTATGTCCTGATCGCACTCCTTCATGTTCTTTCAGCTCTCGCTGTAAACATTGTCTGAATTTAACCACTTTTGAATTAAATAACTACCTTTTTTCGATTCATAGACGTGCAAAGGACTGGGTAAGAAGGTCACAAGTCATGTCTGGTAAATCGAGTGATTGCGCTGATAACCGTGTGTTAACTACTGCTGCCAATGTTCATAATTCCAGTGAATTGACGAGCGTTTTATGGGGGGCAGGTCACTGTTCCAGTGATGAACTCTGGAGCCAATAAGAGATCGTCGTCAACGGAGCTGACCTCTTCTCAGGCGAAGAAGACTAGATCGTCTTTAACGCAGAAGAAGAAGGCTACTACCCCTAAGACTTCATCGAAGTCTCTACTCAGCTCTACGCAGAAGACAAGATCCTTCTCTGCCGAGATTGTACCTCCGGAAGAAGCAGATGTGTATCATGATCCCCCCATCCTCATACATGAAGTCACAGTTGTCAGCAAGAAGCCTGCTTCTACAGTTACATCGGCAACTTTATCAGCGCAGACATTGACAGAAGACCTTCTATCAACGCAGACATTGGGTACCAGAGATAGCAGCAGCGTCAACTCTTCACATGTGCAGCGTGCCTTAGAAGACACCTCATCGTTGTCAGAAGCATCATCAGAAGCAGATCGAAGCGTTCTCCCGGAACCCTGCAGACGTCATAGATACGGGTCGTCATCACCATCGGACTCAGATGCACATCGGGAACCTGCACGCAGGCAATCCACATCTTACAGAGGGGAGACTATGCCTAAGAATCAATTTTCACAAAGGTCTAGAGAGACATCTCAAGACTCCAGGAAGGATACACTATCACATCGGGATCGCTCACCTGCGCGCAGTTCGTCATACAGATCTTCACACAGAGACTCACGTTGTGTGGATCGTCAGAGCGGGAGATGTCTAAATCAGAGGAAGAGGGTGAAGTCATACTCTCCGATACAGAAGTAACCTCATGGATTGCTAATGGCCTGGACCTAGCATCTCCTTCCAAGGACATAGACGAAGCATTTACATACAAGATGTCCAACGATGATTTCCACACACTCACCTTTCCGCCTATCGACCCGATCTCCCAAGTACCGAACAGTCTCAGCTCAGCCTTTGATAAGGCTACCAAGTTCCGGAATCAGCATATCCCGACGTTCAACGCCAGGAAATTCCCTTTACATCACATGGAACCCTTCCTGAAGGGACCAGAGATTGATGAGGACTACAAGATCATCAACAACTCCCGCTATAGAACTTACAAGATAGAGGACAAGAAGCTAGCGCAACTGGATACGACTACTAGACGTACCTTCTTCGGACTAGCCAGGTCTAGGGCTATCAATGAAGCACTCATCTCGAAGTTCAAGAACTCAACCGCCGAAGACGACTGGATGATATATTCTGCGCTACTGACTCAGAAAAAGGACCACCAGTTTATGTCGGAGCATCTAGCATCCACATCAGCAGGCCTGACTTTTCTGAGGAGACAAGGATTATTGTCATCGTGCACCTGGAGTGAGCGGTTCACAAAGTCCCTACACAGAGCCCCATGGTCAGCATCATCCATCTTCGGAGGAGGAATTGAAGAAGTTGCCAAAGAGGTTACACACGAATCAAGGGAGGTCATGATGATAAAGTCCATAGATACCTTGGCAAATGTGATTCGCAAGACGTCCCAGTGCTACTCCAACAAATCCAAGTTTGCAGGAGTCCAGAGAGCCAGAGAAAAGAAGTATTCCAGCTCAAGAGGAGGAAGAGGTTCTTTTCGTCGCCCAACCGAAGCCCCAAGAAGTAACCCCGGAAGAGGCCGAGCACCCGGGGGTGCCAGGGGAACCAAACGCTAAAGGACAGGTTTGGAACGACTGGAGTCTTCCACCCCCAGCCATTCCTGTACAACCTTGGACAGTGGGTGGACGTCTTCAACGGTACTGGGAGAATTGGGGTATACTACAGGACGACTACGTATTCCAGATACTACGCAGAGGGTACAAGATACAGTTGGAAGCCACCCCGCCGCTTACAAGCAACCCGCTGAACTTCAACTACACAGCCGACCAGACAGAGAAACTGGACGACGCAATCAAGACTCTACTCGACAAAGATGCAGTAGAAGAGATAAATCAAGATCTCATCGTGCCTGGTTTATACTCCCCAATTTTCCTGGTACCGAAGAAGAATTCCAAGGAAAAGTTTCAGCTCATCTACAACATGAGGACGTTCAACCAGGAGTATCTCCACAGACCAGCAAAAATTCAAGATGATACATCTTCCTCAGCTCCGACATCTCGTTCGGCCATCAGACTACCTCGCCAGCACAGATCTACAAGATGCATACCTACACATCCCGATACATCCAGACTCAAGGAAATACCTAAGATTCCTTTTCAACGGACATCACTTCCAGTGGAAGGTTCTACCGTTTGGAATAACGTCGGCCCCTTTGGTTGTTTACTCGAGTGACCAAGCCCATCGTCACATATCTACATCGTCGAGGTCTACGCAGTGCTTTTTTACCTGGACGACGGAATTCAAGTTCATCAATATCCCAGTCAACTCAGACTGCAACTAGACTTCACCATCAGGCTTCTCACTCATTTAGGATGGCTGGTAAATCTCCTCAAGTTGGAACTGGAGCCGAAACAGGATCTTCAATTTCTAGGAATATGACTCATCACGCCTGTGAATCGCATAGTTGTCCCAGAGGATCGTTGGGTCAAGATACAACATATGATATCTCAAGCAATGCTCTCTCCATTGACACTATGTGCTTGGCAAAGCAAGCTCGGTCTACTCAGCTCAGCTCAAGACATGACTCGCAGCAGGAAATTACAACTGCGCCCACTACACATATTTGTGAACCCCACATCTCAACAGTCTGGATCCGCTGATACTACCGGACAGCCTGAAACCATACCTCTTATGGTGGACTCGGAAGTCGAATGTTTGCGGAGGAACCTTTTTGTCAGAGCCTGTTTGCAACACTCATCTCTACGTGGATGCATCGCTACAAGGATGGGGTGCCCACCTCGACAACGAAGTGGCAGCAGGGAAGTGGTCGAGTCAGGATCAGAGTCTGCACATCAACCTGTTGGAGATGAAAGCAGTGATCAACGCTTTACAAGACTGGTCTAGCGTACTAAAGAACGCTAGACTCACGGTCCACACGGACATCTCCACAGTAGCGTTGAACATCAACAAACAAGGATCAACAAGATCAACAAGTCTGCTACAACTCTCCTGTTCAGCATCGTCGACGACCTGAACATTTACATGAAGGCATGCCACATTCCAGGAGCAAAGAATGCCATAGCAGACGCCCTATCTCGTCCATTACAACCATCCCCGACGGAATGGATGTTACACCCAGAAGCGCTCCGGTTCGTCATACAGGCAATAGGATCTCCACTGATAGACTGTTTGCAACAAAGTTCAACTTGCAACTACCAACATTCGTCTCACCGATTCCGGATCCTCAGGCATGGGCAACAGACGCAGGTCGAACCTGCTCGTCCATCCACACACCAAGCAAGCTAACGGGAATCCGGCTTGGTTCCAGCTACACTCGTTGAGCATATCAGTGCATGCCTGAAGACTGGAGGGTACTCCGCCAGAGCAGCAAAAGCAGTAACACTAGCTCAACGCAGATCAACTCGCAACTTGTACGATGACAAGTGGCAGAGATTTGAACAGTATGCAAATGTCGAAAATGTCAGGAGAAGTTTCGGAAGAAATCTGACAAGTTGTGGTTCCCCCCCAGACTCATCAGGGGAAGTTGAAAGAACAGAACCGTCTGTGCCGTCATAAGTTCCTATGGGGGATAATACAGGACATAAATCAACAGCCAGTGAATCCAGGAAGTGGCCTGACCCACCACCGATTCCGACGGATTCTGCAAGCATTTAACATGAGTCAGGATAAGGAAAAATATGTCATTTTCTGACTAAAATTGATATTTTATACTTATCCTGACTCATGAGGTCAGTTCTCTCAACCTCCCCTCTCAGAGCACTCTGGATGTCCCTGTAAATCCGGGTGTCGGGCATACATACGGAGAGAGTGACAAACATGGCTGGTCATGTGATACAAAAGGGAGCCAAAAGGAGGCAAGGGAGACTCGTGGGTAGAAGGGAACTTCAAGGGATTTCAAGTGTTCCACTATCATTCGCAAGAAGAAGGAGACAAGCATTTAGCATGAGTCAGGATAAGTATAAAATATCAATTTTAGTCAGAAAATTACATGATGTTGATTATGACGCGTAGTCATCCAATACTATACTGAACATAGTTTATACCATATTATCTGAAGGCATACCATTATCCAAGAGGTACCAAATGACAGATCGTTTTTCATTTTTAAGAACTATTTTATACCACAATGTGTTGTAATGATTAAAATTATGTTAACCACATTACCCACATATGTGAAATTTTGGATTTGGCTTTGCTAATGATTCCATCAAAATAAAATGGAAGCTTTTCAAACATTGGACATCGAGAATATAGTTAGGCTGAGTACTTTTTGAATGTCCCTCGTAGATGTACCAATGATAGACACTGGGATCTCCTGCCTCCAGTCATACCAATCTCTCCGGGGGCGATGGGGTAGCCTAGTGGTTAAAGCATTTTCTTCTTCACGCCGAAGACCCAGGTTCGAGTCCCCACATGGGAACAATGTGTGAAGCCCATTTCTGGTGTCCCTCGCCATGATATGGCTGGAATATTGCTAAAAGCGGTGTAAAACTCTAAGCTCACTCACTCTATCCAATGCCTGTCAGCAGAAATATTTTGACCTTTGCCCAGAATTGCTGGCAACCCTTAACATCATCAGCTCACTTGCAGAAGGCAACAGACATTATAAAATGTTGACAACATATCTACAATTGCTACAGTGCTGTGGCTCAACTTTTCAATATAATGTGAACCAACTCTTTTCAATATCTGAAAATATTTTTTGAAAGTTGCTGCAGCCAGCAATACTTGAGTTGTATGATTCCCCAGAACCACAAAGTGTTCTCCAGTTATGTTTGTGCTTCACATGGGGCATTTCACGCTGTGTTCTGGACTTACAGTTCTCGTCTGTAATATAAAGTATGGAAATAAAAACACACTTGCTGAAACACTCAAGGTGCTCAGATTCTATTCTGATATGAATGGGTTATTCTATTTGCTCAAGCTCTCCAGAACCATTGTGTGATTGTTCAGATGGTTACTTAATTTCTGAGGCTGGACAGAAACACTCGAAGTCCTTTTTTGTGATCTTCTTGTTATTGTACCTGTTATTGTTTACATTTCTTCTTCATTTCAATTTCTAGGGCGTCTTCATCACTCCAGCTCTCATCCTAGCTACAGTGAGTATCTATCAGCCTCCAGTGGCAATAAACAGGATTATCAAGCCAGCAGGTATTGCCTCGTCAAGGCACATCACTGCTGCATTTTGTTGATGTCAGTGGTATAGATGTATTAGATTGACACCACACTGTTGGAATGGTGATAGCATTGAATTGTATGGGTATATCTAATGGATGACAAGTGAAACTTTGTCTCTCAGTTTTATTTTGAACAAAATTTGATTTGAATAATATAAGCCCACATTTTTCTACCAGGAACTTTCTTGGAAATTGTAGCAGGAATAATGCTGACTGGTCAAATCAACTTTCAAACCCTCACTCTGGAACCTGCTTGACTGGCCTGAAACCTGGCTGTATATTCAAAGGCTTAGGGAAGCTCAAGATGGTTTAAGGCATCAATTTTTCAAAAATACATATTTTAAACTTATCCTATCTCTCTCTGTACACTATCCCTTGTTATCAAGCGACCTCCTAGACTCTGTGGTATCATATTGACCGAGCACAACCCTGATCCAGCTATTGATGTAGGCAGTCACAAGAAGCCAGTGAATGCGTCTTGCCTTGGATGACCGCATGACTCCCTACTGAAGTCATTTTCGTTTTTTGTTGCCGTCCTGTGAAGACAGCTTACCTTGACAACAGATGACAAAAAGAAAAGTCTGTTCAAACTGCTAACAGATGTTTTTAGCACTCAACCCCCACATGGCTTCAAGTGACTGCCTGGTTTCATGCAGTTGGGCTGATTGATGTAATCATTCATCAATCTCTCAATCTGGTTTGTCTATCCCTCTGATGGGGCACTGGGGTAGCCTAGTGGTTAAGCTTTCACTTGTCACACCCGAAGACCCTGGTTCGATTATCCACATGGGTACAATGTGTGAAGCCCATTTCTGGTGTCCCCCACCGTGATAATGCTGGAATATTGCTAAAAGCGGAGTAAAAATAAACTCTAACTCACTCACTCACTCACTCACTCACTCACTCACTCACTCTCTCACTCGCTATCCCTCTGGTTTGAAGATGCCTCCAGCTAGTTAGGCTCTCTTCAGCTAGTTTGACAATCCCTTCACCTTTACCGATTCCTACATGTGGTTGGCCAATCCTTGGTGCAACCTTGACGTGGGTACCACTACCATCAACCATGTTGATGTTGTTGCCTTTGTTCCTTCTTTGCTGATCCTACCTTCGACAGTTGTGTGTCTGTCTTTGTCATTACCCTTTACTTAGGAGATAATCCTATTGTGTTTACATTTTGGAAGTGATTATAGTTGGTTGAACGCTGCTAAATGTTTCATTTAGCATCATTCAACCAACTATAATCACTTCCAAAATGTAAACACAATAGGATTATCTCCATTCTACCATGACATATGCACCATGAATAAAACGCGTTTTAAATATGCACTCTTTACCCTTGCGTAGTGTTTTGACACTACTGCGGCTAGAGCCTTCTAAATGGTTTCACCCATACTCGGGGTGAAACAGGAACAAGAAACAATTTACATAGTGTCAAATGTTTTAATTATTTCCACGATGAAGTTTCCTTCAAATACATTGCAAGTTGCAACATCTGTACTGGCATTCTACTTCTTATGTTCTGGACAACTTTAATGGGATGAGTTATGTAATAAGGAACACCCCTCTAACTTCAAAAATAGATTCGTCTGGTTTGACCTTCGTTCTGACATCATTGGCGCGTGCCATTTTCGAAACGTGGCTGTCCTGGATGCGTGTCAGTGCTTTGCTTAGTTCCGAAAGTAGTTATTTATGACAACCTGACTGTTGTTAATTTTGAAAAGACCAGACATCGAAGACAGGAAGCAGTGATTATGTGATTCGACTTGGAACCAGGCTGGGTCAATATTTTCCTCCATATCCGATCCAAACACATCAAAGTAATCGCCGAGGTCAAACGTAACAGTTTCAGACGACATGTTTGTTTACCTTTGTAAGGGTTAATGAGTGCAAAATATTCCTACTCACAGTTTGAACCGGCTCTCAGAAGTGGTTATTGAAATGTTTTCACTTCTAATTTTTTAGTAACAGCCAATCAAAAACGAACATACTTAAATGTCATGGTAGAATGATTGTTTGCATGTGCTGCAATCAGAATCTTCACACACATGCATAGGGTGTCATGCTTGATGTTGACACTGTCATCATTCAGATTTTCTTTATGTACTTGGTTGTTTTTGTATGAACTAGTGATACAATGTCTGCGGTGCCCCATCTACAGGTGATTGGCATGATGCAAAATGGCAGAAGTGAGCATGCAGTGTCAAATACTTTCAGTGTTTCACAGCCTTCAACCAGTAGTCCTTGGAACAGTCAGTGACAAGAGTTGATCTCATTTGTTAGTTGAGCGGTTATGGTGTTGCACCACTGTGACTGAGCAAAACCCTCACCATATTACAAGAGAAAAAAAAATGGTTTTGGACAACATTTTGTCATACTCACTCCAGCAGTCCAACATCCATGGAAGGTATGGCCAGACCCCAGACCTTTGGTTCAATGAAGACATCAGGGACGTGACAGGAAGACATGAGTGCAGCTGACCACCCACTACTCATCTAAGAACTTTGAAACTTCCCATCCTACCCCTTTATTGCTTCGAAATTGTTCAGGACATTTACTGTCACCCATTAACCAGTTGTAAAATGATACCATTTCATGTATTACTGTATGGCATCTGATACTAGAGAGTAATATGTGTTACAGTTTTTGAAATTGTAAATTTTCTCTGAGTGTCTTCTTGTTTTTTAAAGTGTGAATGTATATTGCTGTTATGTCTCTGGCCTATGTTTATATTCTGTTTGCTACATGGACAGGAGGTACAAGTTGACAATCATGGAAATGGTGTAGTCCTTTGTTGGCAAGCAGCTGTTCATTTTGCTGTGTCATGAATCTGAAACATTTATCTGACGTGGGTATAGCCTGTGCTATCCAACTGATTATGTACTTAATGTAAGTGAAACCGCTTGATAATTGAAGCTATGATGGTTCTGAAATTAGGTTTGTTCAGAGGAAGCATTTAGACTTTGCAATTATTTGTGCAGATATTTAAAAAACAACACGGTGTGATATTATTCAGATTCATGACAATCAAGCTCTTCTGAAAGGGAGGTAAATCTTGATGGTTTCTTGTATGGTCTGGTCCTGTTTGTTTTAGAAAAGCTCCTGTCTTCTATATTGTAAACTATACTTCATCAAGGACATTGTAACATGGTTGTTAGGGAAACGATTAATGTGGCAGCCTAGTCCAGTATCGTAGTGGTTAAGACATGTGATAATAATGCACAAGATCTAGGTTCAATTCACCACTTCACTAGACACTTTGGCCATGCTTCTAAATTGTCTCTGAATACTTTTCTTCACCCTGTAAACAGTATTTGCTAATCGAACCAAAATACTGAGTTCCGATTTAGCACATTGTGCCAATGTGTGATGCTTTTTTCTGGTGCCCCCAGACATGATGTTGGTGGAATATTGCATAAAGTGGAGTAAAACCATGATTGCTCACTACAAGGGCTGGCTGTGTTAGTTTTATGCCAAACATTCATAGAGTTGGTTTATGAAAACCTTTTCAACATATTAGCCTCCAAGGTCCACACATTTCGGCCAACAATGCTGAAGTGTCTGGACTGAACTGATGTAAGAAGACTTCCACATTATTACAATATACCACACTTAAATGTTTTTAAGTTTGGCAAGACATGGATTGGTCACAGATCTGGGGAATATGGAGGATATTTAATCAGGCCAAAGGCACATTGATGCATTACAGACTTGGCAACAACATACTTGTCCATAGCTTCATTGTCCTGGTGAAACACCACATCTTTTGTCAGTTTTCTACCACATTTACCCTTCTTATTGTAATGTAGTTGCCCGAGCAGATCAGTATAGTATATGTGGTCTGTCAGGCCACCTGCATTAAGGATTCATGACATTGTCGACTGATTGAACAAATTTTGCCTTCTTCAGACGATTGAAGTTCCCATATCATTGATTGTTGTGTAATCCCTGGCTGATAGTGCTGAACTCAGAGATTGTTGTGTAATCTCTGGCTGATAGTGCTGAACTCAGAGATTGTTGTGTAATGTTTGGCTGATAGTGCTGAACTCAGAGATTGTTGTGTAATCTCTGGCTGATAGTGCTGAACTCAGAGATTGTTGTGTAATGTTTGGGTGATAGTGCTGAACTCAGAGATTGTTGTGTAATCTCTGGCTGATAGTGCTGAACTCAGAGATTGTTGTGTAATCTCTGGCTGATAGTGCTGAACTCAGAGATTGTTGTGTAATCTCTGGCTGATAGTGCTGAACTCAGAGATTGTTGTGTAATCTCTGGTTGATAGTGCTGAACTCAGAGATTGTTGTGTAATCTCTGGCTGATAGTGCTGAACTCAGAGATTGTTGTGTAATCTCTGGCTGATAGTGCTGAACTCAGAGATTGTTGTGTAATCTCTGGCTGATAGTGCTGAACTCAGAGATTGTTGTGTAATCTCTGGCTGATAGTGCTGAACTCAGAGATTGTTGTGTAATCTCTGGCTGATAGTGCTGAACTCAGAGATTGTTGTGTAATCTCTGGCTGATAGTGCTGAACTCAGAGATTGTTGTGTAATCTTTGGCTGATAGTGCTGAACTCAGAGATTGTTGTGTAATCTCTGGCTGATAGTGCTGAACTCAGAGATTGTTGTGTAATCTCTGGCTGATAGTGCTGAACTCAGAGATTGTTGTGTAATCTTGGGCTGATAGTGCTGAACTCAGAGATTGTTGTGTAATCCCTGGCTGATAGTGCTGAACTCAGAGATTGTTGTGTAATCTCTGGCTGATAGTGCTGAACTCAGAGATGGTTGTGTAATGTTTGGGTGATAGTGCTGAACTCAGAGATTGTTGTGTAATCTCTGGCTGATAGTGCTGAACTCAGAGATTGTTGTGTAATCTTGGGCTGATAGTGCTGAACTCAGAGATTGTTGTGTAATCTTGGGCTGATAGTGCTGAACTCAGAGATTGTTGTGTAATCTTGGGCTGATAGTGCTGAACTCAGAGATTGTTGTGTAATCTTGGGCTGATAGTGCTGAACTCAGAGATTGTTGTGTAATCTTTGGCTGATAGTACTGAACTCAGAGATTGTTGTGTAATCTCAGTTCAGAGATGCATACTGATTTGTAAACATGTTCAACAGCTGATGATCAATGCGAGAAGTGTGTATCCTATATTCTGAGTGATATTCCTGTGATCATTTCCTTTGTTTTCCTGTGCAGGTAGGATCAACTGCACATGTCCCGGTCAGCACTATCTTCGTACAGCTGTCCTCCACAGTGGTTCTGCCTCTGGCCCTAGGACAGATGTTGCGGGCTGCGTATAAACGAAAGCTGGAGAGAAACAAGATACCCTTTGGAGCTATTGGAAGGTTGTTACAGAAATGATAAATGATACTTTTATGTTTGTACCTTGCAGAATTTTCAGACTTAAAGGTCACATGCAACCAAAAAATAAAACATAATTAAAACACAATTATCACTAATTCATGACATATAATATACATTGCTGGATATGAAAAAACATAAAAACAAAATTATAAGCATACAATTGCAAATCAAAAGTGCAATATTTTGTACTTGGGGTGTACTTCCCAAGAAACGAAGCAGCCGGGATACCGAACCCAGTCAGAGCGGGTGGGTGTGCACTCAAGTGTAACGGCTGGTTCATTTGCGTATGCCCTCACGGCTCATTGTGTGTATATATAGAGATGTTGGGTTTTGTAAATACATGCTCGTTTTTTGTGTATAACAATTTGCAATCAACAGACATCATAACATGTCATGTGTACAAGTATCACACCTGCCTGTCTGTGTAATTACATAATGTGACAGCGACCGAACTCGGGCCATAAATCAATGCGTTTTGTTTATGGTGTATAGCCTGATAGGTGTTAAGTTCAAATTGCATGTGGTCAGTGATTGAAATTGTGTATTGAATATTGTCATTAGCAGACGGGCAGGCAGACACATAGGTGCCAATAAAACAGACTTTGAGTTTTGTCTGTGACAACGACATATCTATATCACAGTTAGAAATTCTGTTGACGCTAAATAATGACATTGCTTTTAAGTATCAAACTGAGAAAGTGACTCGGTAAGAAGAACGTGTGGTGAAATAGACAAATGAAATTATATAAACAGTTAAATCGGTAATCTACTGTAATAACATATAAAAAGCTCGCGCCTGTGAAATATCAACAAAACATTAGAAAAATAGCTCACACCAAAGCCTCCACCGAATTTACCGGACAACCCGCTTCCAAGCTCTGCGAACCTATTTCACTGCGCATGTGCTATGAGCGCAGCCCAGCTGTTGAAACCAATTGAATTCCCCCAAGCGCTTGGGGAAAGTTAGTGAATTGTTTGAACTACGATTTCGCATGGTTTTTTTCATCGCGTTATTTTTCAACTTTATAAGTTGAATTTGCATTTTTGATGATTTGTTTCGGTAAGTCCATACCGAAAAGTATCAGAATCTGCAAAGTTGTGTTTTATGTTGCATGTAACCTTTAAACTAATTTTGTTATGTTGAGATGATAAGGGAAGGTGAGTGGAAACTATTGTCTTAACTCCACTTGTCGTCATTGTTTAAAGGTATAATCATATGTGTATATGTTCAGACACTTCATTGTTTTCACATGGATTGAAATCACATGCTTCAAATAATTTCAAAATTGCCATATGTCAAGACTCATTTGTCAGTAATAAAATATGGTTTCGTCTTGAACATATACACTACCAAAAACTTACCAAACTTGTTTAATTGGAGCTATCTTTGAGGTGTACATTTACAATACTGTGGTATTGCATCTGAATGCATCATCTAATCCTGAAATATTACACCAAGCCTGAACAGCATGTGGTGGAGGAGCAGATGCCAGTGTTGCTTGGCCCATGCTTCAATAACCAGACAGAATGGTGAATTGTGGGTAAGACAGAAGGGGGATGTCAATATTCCAAGTTGAGTGGCATACCAGGTTAACCAAACTTGTCTATGATCAGTCAAGGGTAATGGCAGGCAAACTGATGTTGTTTTGAATGGACATTTGACTGGCCTGAGGTCCGCGGACTTTGTGTCCTGTCATTTTTCCATTTTCTGCAATTACCAGCAGACATTTTGAAGTGGAAGATAACAATTCCAGATGACATGATTCCAAGATAAGGCATGCAGACATTGGCCTGACCAACTATTGGCAGCTGTGTCCCATGCTTATTTCACTAACAGTGATACAATTTGTTCAGTTGACTCCAGGTTTTACATTATGCTTCAGTGTCATCCTGTACTGTAAAGGACAAGAGACTTCTCGGTCTTGCAGTTCCTGCCATGTGAGACTGATCAGTTGTGTACCTCTGTCTCAGTCTCACTGCAGGTGGCCTGTCCATGTTACGTGATGTAAACACATAAACAGAAGCAATGGTGTCCTGGGAGAGTACACAACTGCAGCTAGCAATACACGGGTTGTTCACGATCACCAATCAGCTGTATGAATATCTTGATGAAAATCAAGGCTATTTTGTAGGCCTCAATCTATAATCAGTGCAACAACTAAGGCTTTATGTATTTAGACATGACAGGTGGAGATGAAGCCATTCTTTTCAATAAATACACCTAATGGAACCTGAGATAATATGATGCAAGGTGTAAAATGATTTAGTGCCACTTGTAGTGTTGTTGGGAGATTGTGGCAGAGTTTCAAAACTACAGGAACTGTTGCTTGTGATCTAGCACATGGTCAAGATAGCAAGCCAAATAACAGTGTGTCAAAAGTTACATGTCCAGTCTAGAATTTGCCAGGGATATGTTTACACATTCCGTTTGATAAGTACTGATAAGGTATAACACACATGGATAGATTGTCAGTCTTCGAAGATTGTCCTGTTTGTGTTCGAGGTTTATTTCTTAATGGTAACCTGGAACAAGAACTGATGGAATTTCACTGAAATTAGTGTGTGCTAAACCTTCCTGAAAGCATGATTTCATAAGTTTACTGATATTGGCAGTCGGAATTGGCCACATGATTCAATCAGCTGAAGGTACATAGTTGTACAGGTACAGCTGACATGTGTGTTTGATGGTAGATGTCCATGTATCTATTCCCAGCTGACATGTGTGTTTGATGGTAGATGTCCATGTATCTAGCCCAGCTGATGTGTGTGTTTGATGGTAGATGTCCATGTATCTAGCCCAGCTGATGTGTGTGTTTGATGGTAGATGTCCATGTATCTGTCCCAGCTGACGTGTGTGTTTGATGGTAGATATCCACTTATCTAGCCCAGCTGACATGTATGTTTGATGGTAGATATCCATGTGTCCCCTAGCTGACATGTGTGTTAGATGGTAGATGTCCATGTGTCCCCCAGCTGACGTGTGTTTTTGATGGTAGATGTCCATGTATCTAGCCCAGCTGACATGTGTGTTTGATGGTAGATATCCACGTATCTATCCCAGCTGACATGTGTGTTAGATGGTAGATGTCCATGTGTCCCCCAGCTGACGTGTGTGTTAGATGGTAGATGTCCATGTATCTATCCCAGGATGTCCATGTGTCCCCCAGCTGACATGTGTGTTTGATGGTAGATGTCCATGTATCTAGCCCAGCTGACATGTGTGTTACATGGTGTGTGTATCTAGCCCAGCTGATGTGTTAGATGGTCCATGTATCTAGCCCAGCTGACATGTGTGTTTGATGGTAGATGTCCATGTATCTAGCCCAGCTGACATGTGTGTTAGATGGTAGATGTCCATGTGTCCCCCAGCTGACATGTGTGTTTGATGGTAGATGTCCATTTATCTAGCCCAGCTGACATGTGTGTTTGATGGTAGATGTCCATGTATCTATTCCCAGCTGACATGTATGTTTGATGGTAGATGTCCATGTATCTAGCCCAGCTGACATGTGTGTTTCATGGTAGATATCCACGTATCTAGCCCAGCTGACGTGTGTGTTTGATTGTAGATGTCTATGTGTCCCCCAGCTGACGTGTGTTAGATGGCAGATTTTCATGTATCTGTCCCTGCTGACGTGTGTTTGATTGAAGATGTCCGTGTATCTAACCCAGCTGACGTGTGTGTTAGATGGTAGATATCCATGTGTCCCCCAGCTGACATGTGTGTTTGATGGTAGATGTCCATGTATCAAGCCCAGCTGACATGTGTGTTTGATGGTAGATGTCCATGTGTCTAGCCCGGCTGACATGTGTGTTTGATGGTAGATGTGCATGTATCTAGCCCAGCTGACATGTGTGTTTGATGGTAGATGTGCATGTATCTAACCCAGCTGACGTGTGTGTTAGATGGTAGATATCCATGTGTCCCCCAGCTGACATGTGTGTTTGATGGTAGATGTCCATGTATCAAGCCCAGCTGACATGTGTGTTTGATGGTAGATGTCCATGTGTCTAGCCCAGCTGACATGTGTGTTTGATGGTAGATGTGCATGTATCTAGCCCAGCTGACATGTGTGTTTGATAGTAGATGTCCATGTGTCTAGCCCAGCTGACATGTGTGTTTGATGGTAGATGTCCATGTGTCTAACTCAGCTGACGTGTGTGTTTGATGGTAGATGTCCATGTGTCTCACCCAGCTGACGTGTGTGTTTGATGGTAGATGTCCATGTGTCTAACCCAGCTGACGTGTGTGTTTGATTGTAGATGTCCATGTGTCTAGCCCAGCTGATGTGTGTGTTTGATGGTAGATGTCCATGTATCAAGCCCAGCTGACATGTGTGTTTGATGGTAAATGTCCATGTGTCTAGCCCAGCTGACATGTGTGTTTGATGGTAGATGTGCATGTATCTAGCCCAGCTGACATGTGTGTTTGATGGTAGATGTGCATGTGTCTAGCCCAGCTGACATGTGTTTGATGGTAGATGTCCATGAATCTAGCCCAGCTGACATGTGTGTTTGATGGTAGATATCCATGTGTCTAGCCCAGCTGACATGTGTGTTTGATGGTAGATGTCCATGTATCTAGCCCAGCTGACATGTGTGTTTGATGGTAGATGTCCATGTATCTAGCCCAGCTGACATGTGTGTTTGATGGTAGATGTCCATGTGTCTAACCCAGCTGACGTGTGTGTTTGATGGTAGATGTCCATGTGTCTTACCCAGCTGACATGTGTGTTTGATGGTAGATGTCCATGTGTCTAGCCCAGCTGAGATGTGTGTTTGATGGTAGATGTCCATGTATCTAGCCCATGGTTTGAGATGTCCATGTATCTAGCCCAGCTGACGTGTGTGTTTGATGGTAGATGTCCATGTATCTAGCCCAGCTGACATGTGTGTTTGATGGTAGATGTCCATGTATCTAGCCCAGCTGACATGTGTGTTTGATGGTAGATGTCCATGTATCTAGCCCAGCTGACATGTGTGTTTGATGGTAGATGTCCATGTATCTAGCCCAGCTGACATGTGTGTTTGATGGTAGATGTCCATGTATCTAGCCCAGCTGACATGTGTGTTTGATGGTAGATGTCCATGTATCTGTCCCAGCTGACGTGTGTTTGATGGTAGATGTCCATGTATCTAGCCCAGCTGACATGTGTGTTTGATGGTAGATGTCCATGTATCTAGCCCAGCTGACATGTGTTTGATGGTAGATGTCCATGTATCTAGCCCAGCTGACATGTGTGTTAGATGGTAGATGTCCATGTATCTAGCCCAGCTGACATGTGTGTTAGATGGTAGATGTCCATGTATCTAGCCAAGCTGACATGTGTGTTTGATGGTAGATGTCCATGTGTCCCCCAGCTGACATGTGTGTTTGATGGTAGATGTCCATGTATCTAGCCCAGCTGACATGTGTTTGATGGTAGATGTCCATGTATCTATTCCCAGTAGACATGTGTGTTAGATGGTAGATGTCCATGTATCTAGCCCAGCTGACATGTGTGTTTGATGGTAGATGTCCATGTATCTAGCCCAGCTGACATGTGTGTTAGATGGTAGATGTCCATGTGTCTAGCCCAGCTGACATGTGTGTTTGATGGTAGGTGTCCATGTATCTAGCCCAGCTGATGTGTGTTTGATGGTAGATGTCCATGTATCTAGCCCAGCTGACATGTGTGTTAGATGGTAGATGTCCATGTATCTAGCCCAGCTGACGTGTGTTTGATGGTAGATGTCCATGTATCTAGCCCAGCTGACATGTGTGTTTGTCTCCACAGTGTGGTGCTCCTGCTTGTCATCTACACCACCTTCTGTGACACGTTCTCCCACAGGGACATCAACGTGGACGAGATGAGCTTAGTATCAGTTGTTCTGTTAGGTATGTATTTGCAGAACAATCGTTATGAACCTACACAGGTACCATAGGTTTAATCGGTAAGCTGGTATGTTGTCCAGTAGAGATGATGGTACATGCACTATCTAAAGATTGAGGTATTTCAAAGAATGAAAACTTATGGTGAGTTTCTAATACATAGGAAGTTTTATTTCAATTATTACTTTGCATTAGGGCTGCGCAATATAACCGGTTTACCAGTATATTTACCGGTTCAGACATGAAATCGATACGTATTGCGATACCCGGATCGAAAACTGTTTTTTCGACATGCATTCGGAAAACTTCGTAACACTCAGAAATCTTTGGATATTAACATTTTTCACACCGGAAATCAAGTTAAGTTCGGTTTGAAGTTGTGTTCTTAATTTTTGCTCAAGTATTTCGCAAAGTTTCTGATCTGAACGTTCTATATTTACTCATTAATGACCAGTGATCCCTGATATGTCCTGACCAGGTCAAGTTGCTGTCTAAAATCTCGGGGCATTTTTGATAGTGGAGAAACTAGTTCAAACTAGTAACCACTGTGTTGATGTTTCCTTGTTTCCTTCATTTTAACATGATTAAAAGTTTTTATTAAAGCTTAATCAAGCATAGTGATTTTGTTGTCTTTTTGCTTTATAAATCAAGCATTAACTCGATTATAAGTAAGTTTTGGTGAAAAAATATTCTTGCAATATATTGCAATACGTATCGCAATATATGCTTTCGAATCGCAATATATCGCAATATGAAAATTCTCTGCAATACCCACCCCTACTTTGCATGCATGGAGTTCTCACTAGGAATTCTACTTCCATTTTGGAAACTGATTATTTGTAATTTTTATTAAAGGTTTGTGCAAAAGCTACTGAAAAATCTGTTTTACTTCAAAAAAATCTGCTGTAGTTAGTTTCAGTTACTGTCATATGGTTAGCTATTTATTGGCTGTGACATTTCCATGAATACTTATGGAAAAAGTATCGCAAGACACCTTATTTTTCATAGTATCAAAATGTTACAATTTACCAAAGCAAAGTAACTTATCAAACCTCTAATTTAACTTACTATTGGGATTAATTGACCCTCAAGGCATAATTAAAATGCTAAAAGAGTGAAAAAAATGTTGTTGTTTTTAGGGAAGCCTACATGGCCAAAACTGATTCATTTTGTAGAGCTGATAACTGTGGTTGTATTCTGTCAAGAAGTCTGGTAATTTTCAAGATTCATGCCTACAATCTTCAATATCACATAAGTATCAATAACCGAGCACAATGTCAGTATCTAGTGTAACCCATGCCTACAATCTTCAATATCACATAAGTATCAATAACCGAGCACAATGTCAGTATCTAGTGTAACCCATGCCTACAATCTTCAATATATCACATAAGGCCGAAAGCACAATGTCAGTATCTAGTGTAACCCATGCCTACAATCTTCAATATCACATAAGTATCAATAATAACCTGTCAGTATCTAGTTGTATTCAATAATATCACATAAGTATCTGTCAAATGTCTCAAGTATCTAGTGTAACCCATGCCTACAATCTTCAATATCACATAAGTATCAATAACCGAGCACAATGTCAGTATCTAGTGTAACCCATGCCTACAATCTTCAATATCACATAAGTATCAATAAATTGAGCACAATGTCAGTATCTAGTGTAACCCATGCCTACAATCTTCAATATCACATAAGTATCAATAACCGAGCACAATGTCAGTATCTAGTGTAACCCATGCCTACAATCTTCAATATCACATAAGTATCAATAACCGAGCACAATGTCAGTATCTAGTGTAACCCATGCCTACAATCTTCAATATCACATAAGTATCAATAACCGAGCACAATGTCAGTATCTAGTGTAACCCATGCCAACTGCAATGGAATGGCATGCTTGACCCTCCTCCTCGTTGACTGTATCGTAGGTTGAATTTGAAATTAAGGCATTGCATTCCATTCTTGATGGAAGGCTTGTTCCAATAATTCAAGATTTTGTGTGATGATCTCAAGTTTACAGTCACGTGAGAGGTACCCCACACCATCAGTGAATCCCTGCCAAATGGTATTGCATTGTGCATTGTTGACTTGAATGTTGGCAGTCCTTATTGTCATTAGTTGGCTGATATTTTCTTGAAAATTGGCTAAATAATGGATGACAACTATTATCTCTTGCAGTAGTCCTCAATAACATGCCAGCATTCCGCATACCAATAACTTACCATCTTTGAGCAGTTGTCAGTTTCGGAAGCCCCATGTTACAAAATCAATAGTTTTTCAAAGTTATCAAGCTGGAAAACATTTTTCTGAAACTTGATATGTACACTCGCGTAACCTTGATTTGTGGATATAAAGGAATGCGGCGAAATTCATATTTTAAATGCATGATTTCATTTTGTATACGCACTGATTAGTTTATTCATTTATTCAGCAAATTGAAAATGCCTAATATTCCACTCGTGTATGAAACGTTTGTTTACGGAAGCCATTTGCAATCATCACCCATTCGTGTGCCCACAAAATGTGACGTCACCTTGTTTCGTGGATTACGTAGTCGGTTACTTTATACCACTATGTACGACATAACACGGCAGTAAGTATTGACACCAAGGAAAGCAGACAACGAGAAGTGCGAAGGCTGGAGCTAACGGTATCTTTTTTACTTGAAATTTTGTAAAAATAAAATTTGGTAATGGTAATTAGTGATCTGGGGCTATTTATCTCAATGCTGGACAATTACATTTAGTGTACTTGTGTGTAATGCAGAGATTCGGAACCTTTTTGTCAGCTAGGCGTGGCATTGTATGTACATCAAAAGTACCGCTTCGTGACGTCAGTCGAGACTTAATTTACGAGCTAGCATGATAATTTCCGCGATCCACGAATCAAGGTTATCCACGAATTTAGGTTACGGTTCTGTACTTAATGACGAGTACATGCATTGCATGTAATACTCGTACTTATTCATAGCAGGTGTGTATCTAAAATCAATGTATGGTTCGCCCAAAGGGTCAAAATAATCAAAAACTCAATATGAATGGGTATATGGGTATTAAAAACATATGTGTTGCAATACTTTTTTACTGTATATAGTTATCATGATGCACGTGACATGGTGGACAATCTTAAGCTTCCAGGCTGACCGGTTGTTAACAAACCAAAGTCTTACTATTTTGTTTTCTTGTTTTTCAGAGTGCTTTGCTTTTTAAACAATGTGGTAATTGATGATGTCATTTACTTTTCAGTAATCGTGCTTCAAGCTGGCCTGATGATGTTAGTTTTTGCTGTGTCAAAATGCTCCTTTCTTGGACTACAGCCAGCTGATACTGTGGCTCTGGTGTTCTGTTGTACGCATAAGTCCTTGACTCTAGGTATATATCAGTTTCTAAACATCAAAATGGCTCTATCTCTGGTAATTTACTGTAGTCAGTGTTTCAAACAATAAGTTTCAGAGATATCGGTGGATCCTCGTTAATAACTGAACAAGGCCAATTAGTCCATATTTTAAAAGGCTCATATGCCCTGTTAAAATAACTAGACCGTACAGGTTTCTTAACCAAATAAAACCAAAAATAATTATTTTTCCGTATCCTGACTCATGCTTAATTGCTTGTCTCCTTCTTGCGAGCTATAGTGGAACACTTGAATCCCCTTTTGAAGCTCCCTTAAAAAAAGCGGACGTAAAATCACTCACCCCAAAAGTAGCCTTCCTTTGATATTTGGCGCCAAAACCGTCACATGATCAGACATGCTCTTCACTCTCTCCGAATATGAGCCCGACACCCGGATCTACAGGGAAATCCAGAGTGCCATGAGGGGAGGTTGGTTCCTCTCTATTGGCCGGTTTGAAGGAGGCCATATTGATGAACATGTGTCCGCCTAAAGAGATTTTCTGAGGCAACATAGAAAAGATTGTGAACATTATTCAGGAGAAAATAATAGAATAATAATAACCAAAAATGATAATTTTCCTTATCCTGACTCATGCTAGATCTTTGTTGCTTATCTCCCTTCTCCTTCGAACGGTTAAGTGGAAACTTGAATCCCTTTCAGTTCCCTGAAGCGAACGTACAATCACTTACCCTGGAGCTGCCTCCCATGCCTTTCCCGCCAAAAGCACCCACGTGACCATAAGGCATGCAGTCCTCACTCTCTCCTTAATTGCCCAAGTGAACGGTTGGGCGGTATATTCAGGGTCCCTTTTGCGGCTTATAATGCTTTTTACTTTGGATATTTAACTCAATTTTTGCCGTGAATGTGTTATTTAGGCTATTATTCATATTTATGGAAATTGTTGTGTAAATTTCGACTAATTTGTATGATTTTCACTCCATTCCAGGTGACTGTCTGTTTACATGATCTTTGTGTAAACAATGATATTATCACGTCTCAACGCTTGATTCACACATTGGTTGCTCAATTGTGTCTGGAATCCTGTTTGATATTCTCAACATGTATTTATTATACACATTTGTATGATTTTTGGAATTCGTTGAAATCTTTAAACTTATCCTATCTCACGGTATGCACCTCTCTCTTCTACTTTGACCCATATGTGGAAAGTAGAAGGCTGTTGGCTAAGTTGAATCAAATCTTTCGGCCTCTGTCCCACCTGACCTCTGCCCCCACTCCGATAGCATGACCTGTCAATCATCTCCATAAGATGAGATCGCTCAGATGATCATGTGACATCCCATTACTGTCATTCTCTTTCTTGTTGCCCACTGGTGTGGACCTGTGTTATGCTCTGTCTGCCACTCGTCTCTACTTTTCATCATGAGGAAAGTGTTCAATCTTCCTGGAAGAGATGACACTGTGACAATTATAGAATTGTTTTTCCCTGCCTCTGATCCTCACACACTGTGCGTTGATTGTATCGGATGGTGTGACGGGCCTCACTGTTGCTCTTATTGTGCCAGTTTGGAAGCGTTCTCCATTATCATGTGGCAGACAGAAATCGTCGGAGGCTTTCCAAGGGTCCATCTTCATCTCAACTTTCGAAGCGAGATTGTCCGTACCAAACAGCTCGCCATTTATCACTATCACCGGACGCTCTCACATAGGGAAGAAAAGGCCAGTGCACCATTTCACTTCAGTTCACCGCTCTCGCTCGGTACAACTCATTACCCCAGTGCGCCGCTTCGATTGGATCAACACTTCTGCCCAGTGTGCCTTTTCGATTGGAACAACGATTCAACCTTGTGAACTGTTTTTTCGATTGAACAACTTTTCAGTCCAGTAAACCATTACTGTATAGTATGGCGTTTTAGATGAGTGCACCGGTCCTGATTGACTCAGCGCTTTAGATCAGCCGAACCAAATCACTTGACCAAACCGGATCACAGTACTGAACAAGATCACCTTTCCTAATCTGTGCCTAAATTTTCGAAGCTCTCTTAGAGCTAAGATAGTTGTATGTTAATGAATGGCACTTACAACTATCTAAGCGCTAAGAGAGCTTCGAAAATCTAGGCCCAGATCGTCGAACCGACCTAGATCTCAGAACTGATCCTGGTCGACGAACCACACCAGATCGCTGCTCCAACAGTATATGCCGATCCGACAGTGTTCGCCGAACTATCAGCATTCACCGATTCATCTGATTCCCTCTATGCACCTACTGTCAACATGACTTTGTTTGCTAGTTCGCAAACTATGTTACCTACAGTGATTTTTTCTACTACGAGTTTACCTTCAACAATTCTTCCAACTTCCGTGTTGATACCTCATTTCTGCAGTTTCTACCATTGCTCAGCTTGGCTTTGGGGTTACGCTTCATGCTTCTGCGGTATCTATGTACGGACAGAGCGTTCACTCCAATGCGGCGCTTTCATTCAGTTCGGTGCTTCAGAGTGTACCTTGGGTTTTGATTGGCTTGTCTCTACACACCAATGCGCCGCTTCAATCCCATGTTTCCTACTAGTACGCCACTCGTATCCAGAGCGCTGCTCTCTTATGTATCAACGCTTCCATCCAGTGCGGCACTTCCAGTTAGTGCATTGTTTCTGCTGGTTGTACAGAGGTAGTAGTTATGTCAGTAGCACAGGCCTCTAAATTATGATGGCTATTGACGATCCTGGATCGTCAAAATTCCTCCGTCATCTACCTTCCGATCTTCATCTTTGATGAATGATTCGATTCAACGAATCTACCTTTCGACGAAGATACATCACTGCTGGTACCACACGCAGAAACTTGACCAACACTTCTTTTGGCGAACCATACGTTCCTGCGATCACTGATTATATGACCTTCATCACTCTGTGTACAATGTGACTGTCCTGTAGATTGACTGATAATCTCCGTGCCATGAACCTACTACATTCAGCACTTCTTCAGTACTGTGAAGGAAGCTTGGCTAATCGAACGTATCCTATCTCAGGAGAGATCCCATCTTCAGTGGCAGTAGTTGCTGGGCCTTCTGACATCAGCTCAAGCCCCAACATACAGAGGCCATCTCCAGCTTTGGCTGATACAGCGATTTATACTCTCGTATCTCGAGGCCGACAACTGAACCCGAAGGAATTGATTCTCCTTTCAGTACCGCTTCGTCCAGTCCTTCAGTGATCGCTCGATGAACAGAATGTCTGCGCTTGAGTTCTATGGTACCCCTAACTTCTGTTGACGTCAGTTCAAGCTTTGACTCTCAGGGGATAGCTTTAACTACGGCCTCTCCAATTTGTGTGTGTCCGCACATCAGGATCAGCCTCCCTCACACATTGATCTCTCTTCTTCCAGCGCTCCATCCCCATCTTCAGTGGTGGTTGGACGAGTTCAATGTTTGTGGCGGAGTCTCTTTAAGGCCGTTTGCTCCAGTACATCACCTGTACGTAGACGCCTCTCTACATGGGTAGGGAGCTCACCTTCTCGATCAGCAGGTGGTTCCGCAGACCACACGTGTCACATCAACGTTCTGGAGCTCAGGGCAGTGATTCTAGCGATCACTCATTGGCAACACCTGTTGCTTTTGATTTTATCGGACAATGCTGCAGTCGTGTGGCACATCAATCGAATGGGATCCACAGGGTCTCCTCAGCTTCTTCAGTGGACAAAACAGTTTGTCCACTTAGTGGACTCTCTGAGCATCACGGTCCAGGCCAATCACATCCCAGGGGTGAAGAACGTCATTGCAGATTCTCTGTCCCGTCCGGTTCGACCATCCCGCAGGTGTTCGCATGTGTGCTTTCAGATGTCGAACCCAATAGTGGATCTGTTTGCTACCTGCTTCGGTCATCAGCTTCCAATGTTCGTCTCCACGATCCCGGATCCTTTGGCCTGGGAATATGATGCTCTAGCCAGCCATTGGGACGACTTGAACGCGTATGTGTTTCCACCAGTGGCTCTACTTCCATGCATAGTGCTCAAGTTACGCATGACACAGCGACACACTGATTTTGGTCGCACCTTTTTGGCCGGCCAGAAGTTGGGTTTGTAGACCTGCAAGACTTGGCCGATCCAAATCCAGTACCACTTCCTGATCGCGTCGATCTTCTGGTTCATCCTCACTCCGATCAGCTGCACTGGTCTCCGCTCACGCTCCATCTTCACGCCTGACGCATTTACATAAATCGCTAACTGCAAAGGGATATTCCAAGCGAGTCACTACGGCGATTACCACGGTGCACCGACCTTCCACCAGGTCACTCTATGATGACAAATGGAAGAATTTTGAAGCGTACTGCAAGGCGAAGGGTATTGTATTTCCCACAACAGCATCGCCGCAGATGGTCGCGGAGTACCTCCAGCATCCTAGAACTTCCAAGAAATTGGAGGGTTCTACCTTGTCTACGTACCTGTTCGCGCTTAACACAGTTATTGCGCCGGCTATGGGTGTGAAGGTGTCAACTGTCCCTGAGCTCCAGTCTCTCCTCAGATCTTACAAAGTTGCTGATCAATCCCGGAAGTTCCGGCCACAAGCCTGGGACCTCACCTCACCTCTAAACCATCTCACGTCAGAGGAATACAAACCCCTGGCGGAGAAGGATTTCGAGAATGTCACATTTAAGACTTTCTTCCTCCTGGCTCTTGCGATCCATCCTCACACCCAGCAGGTTTCCATATACATACATGGAACATATTACGCACTATTTGAAGAGAAGAGGGTACTCCGCCAGAGCAGTTAAAACAGTGCTAACAAAGGGTTCTCGGCCATGAAAGGAACGCACCCACAAGTAGCTGACTACCTGTGTCATCTGAGGGCTACTAGACACCTAGCTACTGCTGCTAGAATGTCAGAAATCCACGCCCTCAACTTCGGCCGTACGAGATTCGACACTGGACAGCGTGCTGCAGTCCATCTAGACATTAGATGGGACGTCATCGCTAAGAATCAGCTGCCTGGCCAACTGGATCGTCAGTTCTATGTTCTGGCACTATCAACCATCTTGGGTCCAGACGATACACAAGATCTATCCTTATGCCCGGTCAGAGCCTTGGAAGTCTACTTAGACAGGACTGCTGTGAGGAGGAGGAAGTTCAAGCATCTAAACTGACGGGCAAAAGTTAGTATAACGTTTTCAATTTGGTTTGGGGAAATTGAGCATGTCTAAATTCCAATGAAACATCCAAAGCAAACATTGTCAAAGTCACGAGAATATTGCAGAATGGTAGTGATGTCAGTAGATGTAGTCACGTGACCCCTAGCACGAGAAAAAGGTATAACATGTAATCTTTGAAAATCACGAACATGCACGTGCACCAGTCGGGTAGAAATGGGATGGATACATGCTGGCATATCACAGTAACTGAAAGCACATGCAAAAATGCCGGGCTGACACAAATTCAGCGAGAGCAAGCCATTGAATGCGATATGGAGCTACCCAAGCTCATCTTGCCAGAACGCTCGGGCTGTACCCCAGCAACAATCTCCAGGCTGTTCACACGTTATCGAATACTGGTAGCACTCAAGACAGGCCGAAGTGGACGGCCACGGGTCACTACACCCATAGAAGACCGCTACATCCGGACTATCCATCTCCGAACAGGTTCGCGGACGGCAACGCCGACGGCGGCTACAGCACTCTGGCATCGTGATCAGTCGCCGCACAGTGACCGAAGATTGAGATTAGCTGGTATAAGGGCTTACCGCCTTTCCGCTGAATGGTCCTGACCCTCAGACATCGCCAAAACAGACAGCGGTGGGCAAGGCAAGTTTACAGGTGGCAAGTCCGAGATTGGCTTAACGTGTTCTCTTTTCCGATGAAAGCCGTTTCACCCTTTACAAGTGCGGATGGCAAAGAACGGGTATATCGCGGGACGAGGGAACGCTTATCAAGGCCATGCATCAGAGAAGTTCATCCATTCGGGCGGGGTGGAGTCATGGTTTGGGGCGGTATCTGTGGAGACCAGAAGACCTGTCTGGTTGTAGTGCAGGGCAATCTCAATGCACGGGTACATCGGACAGATCCTACAGCCAGTTGTGGTACCCTTCCTACAGAATCAACCCCGGGTGTACTCCTACAACATGACAACGCGAGACCTCACACTGCCAGAGAGACTCGCTACTTTCTGCAACAGAACAATGTTGACGCCCTGCTCCTGGCCAGCGTGTTCACCGGATATGAACCCGATCGAGCACCTCTGGGATCATCTGGACAGGAAGATCAGAGGTCGGCAACAAGTTCCACAGAACAGGCAACAGCTAGAGCAAGCACTCAGAGAGGAATGGAACCGCATTCCCAATGACGCCATTCGACGCTTGACGACGCCAATGAGGAGACGTGTGAGGGCATGCATTGACGCAGCAGGGGGTCAGCACACGATACTGATGTGCACAAGATCCTGTATTGAAGGAATGCCCCTGCTACTGACTCATAAACTCAGATTGTGATAATCGATTTATGCAAAATTCCACCCCTTGCGTGTTTACTTGACAGCGGCTCACAAACTCCTTGAATGAAATTGTTGATTTTTTGTGATTTACAGCTCAAGTGTTTTTTTATTATGATGCATGAAATATTTTTGGGAAATTTCGGTGTATGTCTTTGTTACAGGACGTTCAAAACGTCATATACTAACTTTTGCCCGTCAGTTTATTTATCCCACTATCACCCGCCACAACTAGAGGTCTCCCGAACTACGATATCCTTTTGGATCAGAGCCGTGATCCTATGAGCGTATAAAGCAACAGGGTTAGAGCCACCCAAGCATCGAACCCACATGAAGTATGAGCACTGGCCTCGACACTCGCCCTACATGGGAACTGCTCTTTATCATCCATGATGGAAGGCTGCTTTTGGAAGTCAGACTCTGTGTTCGCCAACCACTATCTACGAGATATCGCTACTGAAGACGTATCCAGGATACACCAGTTCAGGCCACTAGTAGTAGTGCAGCATGATTCCAGCCAGACGATGAGAATACTCATCCTTGTCACACAGACTCGTTGACACCAGGCAACTGATCCATTGCCACCGGCTGAGAGTCCATGTTCCCCTGTCTTACAAGATAAGTCAGCGCATGAGTGATATAGGCTCAGTTTCGGTAATAGTCCTTACCTTAACATATGGGTCGTTCTAGATAACTAGACATGGTGGCGTACTAGTTTATCTAACATCCACGAAATCTACATGACTTACTTCTGTTACGCATGTAAAAGAAGGTGGCTCCCCGATAATCAGGAAAATTTGATGTGTTCCAGCCGCAAGAAGAGTTCCCAGGGGGTATATGAGGGAACGATGACATGATTATTCAGTCACAGAGAATCCCATAGGTGGCTGACCCACCACCTGTTTTCTTCGGATTCAATAAACAATATAGCATGAGTGAGGATAAGGAAAACTATGTAATTATTCAGATAAATTTTTTATTTTATACTTATCGTGACTCATGATTTGAAGCCCTCCCAACTGTCCCCTCTCAGCACTTCTGGTTTCCCTGCAAGCCTTAGTGTTGGCAGATACGCTGAGAGAGTGAAACTGCATGCCTTATGGTCACGTGGGTGCTTTTGGCGGGAAAGGCAGCTCCCGGGTGAGTGATTGTACGTTCGCTTCAGGGAACTGAAAGGGATTCAAGTTTCCACTTAACCGTTCGAAGGAGAAGGGAGATAAACAATATAGCATGAGTATAAAATATCAATTTTATCCCAAAAATTACATGTTGAACATATGTCATATTTCTCAATGCACATTTCAAGTTTTCCAAATGATATAAACTGTGATGAATTAAAAACTATTTACTTGTAAACATGTCAAATTTATGTTTGGTTCAGTGAATGGTCAACATTATGAAATCCCAGGTCAGTGACCACATTGGCAGAGGCATGTAGAGTTACATCCTCATTAAAGTCAGATTTGTATTCGTGCTACTGCTAAACAAAGATCTGAGGTCGTCCATGACAGATCATGCCACATCTGATGTGACCCACACTGGGATATACTCTGATCCATTATTTGTTTTTGCAAGGAATAAGACTAGATTTTATGAGATTGCTAAATTTGTCAATAGTAGGGTGTTCACATACCATACACAATCCATATTAGAACACAAACCTGACAGAAGTCACTTGTTTTCCCAATATTCCAGTCCTTTTATGCATTCTTAGAAATTCTTTCACCTCTCTTTAATGTCCTTTAGTATCTTTATTCATAACTGGATGTACTTTTTTAACAGGCATTCCAATAATCAAGATCATATTTGGTGGGTATGATGGTTTATCTCTGATAAGCATCCCCTGCTGGTCTACCACCCAGTACAGATTCTACTTGGGGGGCTTCTCGTTCCCATGGTAAAGGCATGGCTCATCACCACAGAGAGGTTCAGGTAAACCGCTTCTTTGTCTTATGAAAATATAATCAAACATTGTGGTGTGTTTAAAGATGTTGTTGTTAATGATTATTGCCATTGTTGCAGTACTTTAAATATCCTTATTAGCTCAATGTTATGGCTAGTATATGAAGCATACCTGCTGAGCGGTCATCCATCAACACTTTGACCTCCTTTCTGTTTGTCCACAGTCATACAATTTATCTAAAGGAGTGAGTTTGGCATTTGTATAGGGCGGTGGGGTAGCCTAGTGGTTAAAGCGTTCTCTCATCATGCTGAAGACCCGGGTTCGATTCCCTACATGGGTACAATGATCAAAGCCCATTTCTGGTGTCCCCGGCCGTGATATTGGAATACTGCTAAAGGTGGCGTAAAACCATACTCACTCACTCAAGAGTATATGTATAGTTTTTGGTTGTAGGAACTTGTATGTTCTAAATATTCTTGTGGGCTTTTAGACTTTGACCATACAGTAATACTTTCCCAGAATCAGTATGTTCAAGGTTGATCACTGAGTGATGTTTGTCACTCAACTATGGTGCCCAAGAATATTTGGTGGCTCTATTTTTCAAAGATACACCACAATACCTGCAACCTCATCTTTTGGCATTACAATATCTGCAGAAGTACCGTAAAAGCACTTTTACATAGCTTAATAAGTGCTTGTTTCGATGACTGATGGGGTGATTAACTGAATTGAGTTAGCGGGAATGGATTTTGCTTATGTTTTTCAACCAGTAGTGTACTTTAATGTTTGTTTTGTTGTTTTACAGATATATGTATCCAAGTCGACAGAGGTTTGCACAATTTCTACAAGTTTGAATTCTGACACACTCTTTGTGTTTGATCTGACAAAAGATCAATGCATTGGAGGGCAGAGGATCTTATGTATTTTACCAACAATTAAAGGCAACTGATGTGTTCTGGTGTAAGCATTTATTCGTAAAGAACCAACAATCTACAGCACTTTCAAGCTTCACATGGGAATTTTAATGTTGTCCAGTGTGTCAATGGATGTCTGGACCCACCGAAAAACTGTGTGGATTGTTCCTGTGATAAAATAGAGGTTTTGTGTTTGCAAGATTTATCAAGTGAAAATAGTTGTTGATAACAACTCAAGGACCTCTATTCTGAGATAAGGAGTAATCCCATCCACCTCCATAATCATCTCCATCAAGGTTGCTGTTGGACATATTACATGACCAAAACCAGATTGTACACCTATTTAAGGCAAATACAGGGGGGAAATGTATGTTTCTAAGATGAACTGACTTCGTATGTTATTGTTTTTGGAGCTACGTTAAATGTGTGACAACTGCTTATAGCAGTATGCACAGTCCCGCTTTTCATGAATGCTTTGACTAGATTCGCAGACATTTCCAAGCATAAATACTTGATCATTGCCTATTTCAAGTTCATTTCTGCTGATTTTTGTGACTAAATTTACAAGAGTTTGAAATATGTGATTTTCTTTTGGCTGGCAAACATTTGTAAATCTGTAAAATTTGGTATGATTTCAGATATCCAGGATATGTATTTGAATTGTTTTTTATGTGCTCAAAGTACAAAATAGAAAACAATGATCATGATCTTTCTACAGTGAATTATTGGGTTCATATTGCCTCATTTGTCATATGCTGATACCTTTACCACAAAAGTTCACATCACCTCATAAGGTCAAGGGTCTGGCTACAAAAGCACTGTTAAGCAAGCTTACCCTGTTCCCAATAATCAATCACCACCCACATATCATTTTATAAAAGTATGAAAACACCACATGTTGTTGTATTTGCTTGGAAATCCAAAATCTGCATCTTAACACTTTCACATATTTTAATCTAATGAAAACAAAACTAAAACTAAAATTTGGTAATGATTTGATAACTTGAATATCAACAATGCCAGAAAGTATGGTCAACATGACAATGCCACCAATCTGATTGTCACAGAATTCTCAAATAATGATTGTATGAAGCACCACTGGTGACCACATCAGTACCTGGTGTAGCCACCCCAAGCTGGGACAGCATCTTCCGGTCTCCTGATCATACTGGTAATCTACCGAAATTACCGGAGTCCTCTGCCATTCCTCATGGTGTGTCTACATCACTTCCTGCAGATTTTGGACAGGAGGATCTCGAGCTCAGATTTGATGTCCAAGATTGTCCCAAAAATGTTCTATGGGGTTCATATCAGGGCAAGTCTTGGTAGTGTTTAGATGGCGTTGTTCAGCGCATGGGGGATGATGGCTTGGAGCGGTGAGGCCTACTATTGTCATCTATGATGACTGGCAGTGGGGTGGTTGTCAAATGTGGCATAATAGCAGAATCTCAAGAGTTGCATACTCCCCAGGGAGTTGAGATTGATAATAATACGATGTGCCATTGAGATTGACATCCAATGGTCGAGGGAAAAAATACCAGCGCCTTGAGCATGCACCAGTTGCGTGGATATGTGCGCTATATAAATATATACTATACTAAATACTACTACTACTACTACTACTACTACTACTAATAATAATAATTCCTGTTGATAATATTGATATACAATCCATCTTGCAGTCATATGAAATACATGAGTCAACACTAAAGAGTTCACATGCATGGATCAAGTCTAAAGGTTCAAAATTCATTTCTGCCTCCCCCCTGGGAAATAAAATTTGGCTGCTTGCGAGAAACTCATGTCCCCTCATGTGACCAGAAACTATCACTAGTTATTACTTCTCTGAGTGACATTTAGAAGCTGGCATGATAAACAGGAATGTATTTTTAAGGATAGACAACTTTTTTATTGCAATCGATTCGACATTTCGGTGTAGATGCTAACGCTGTTAGAAAGTGTTCATCACTAGTTATACATTTCTTTGCATGGGGGGTTGCGCAGCAGCGATCGCAACCCAGTCAAGAATTCTGGGATGTCATCCCGGGAATTGCTCTGGATCAGTGTCCCTTTAACATGCTCTACATTCGGTCATCAGACCAACTGTTTCATGGGAGATGTTAGGAAGCATTGAAAGTCCTCGTGTCTGAAGAGGATAGGACATTTCATCACTCCCTAACTTCTGCCTCAGATCCTCAGTTCCTCAGGATTCAGACACCTCATCCCTACTGGTCATGGCAAGGACCAGGTTTGACAGGGCCCATGGAAGATGTTAAGGCTGTGTTGGGCCAACGGAAGATGTTAAGGCTGTGTTTGGCCCACGGAAGATGTTAAGGCTGTGTTTGGCCCATGGAAGATGTTAAGGCTGGGTTTGGCCCACGGAAGATGTTAAGGCTGTGTTGGGCCCATGGAAGATGTTAAGGCTGTGTTTGGCCCACGGAAGATGTTAAGGCTGTGTTTGGCCCATGGAAGATGTTAAGGCTGGGTTTGGCCCACGGAAGATGTTAAGGCTGTGTTGGGCCCACGGAAGATGTTAAGGCTGTGTTGGGCCCACGGAAGATGTTAAGGATGGGTTTGGCCCACGGAAGATGTTAAGGCTGTGTTGGGCCCACGGAAGATGTTAAGGCTGTGTTGGGGCCACGGAAGATGTTAAGGCTGTGTTGGGCCCACGGAAGATGTTAAGTCTGTGTTTGGCCCACGGAAGATGTTAAGGCTGTGTAGGAGCCACGGAAGATGTTAAGGCTGTGTTGGGGCCATGGAAGATGTAAAGGCTGTGTTTGGCCCACGGAAGATGTTAAGGCTGTGTTGGGCCCACGGAAGATGTTAAGGCTGTGTTGGGCCCACGGAAGATGTTAAGGATGGGTTTGGCCCACGGAAGATGTTAAGACTGTGTTGGGGCCACGGAAGATGTTATGGCTGTGTTGGGGCCACGGAAGATGTTAAGGCTGTGTTGGGGCCACGGAAGATGTTAAGGCTGTGTTGGGCCCACGGAAGATGTTAAGACTGTGTTGGGGCCACGGAAGATGTTAAGGCTGTGTTGGGGCCACGGAAGATGTTAAGGCTGTGTTGGGGCCACGGAAGATGTTAAGGCTGTGTTGGGCCCACGGAAGAAGAATGGAAAGCAGGGACAGAAACAGACCTCCCTGCTCTTGGACTTCTCAACCTCTAGATATTGTGTCCACGACTTATGTTGTGTCCAACAATCTTGCAGTAAAAATGCTGGATTTACCTGTGTCGATATCTATGGGTCCAGTGGAAGGCAGTCTGTCGGCATTTGTGGACAATTGGAAGCTCATCATGACCGAATCTTGGATCTCATCAAGGAAGCATATTGCCTTTGAATCGACAAGACTTGCCCATAGATGGCACATCTTTCAGCCCAGGGACCCCAAGTTTACAGTAGCAATGACAGTATATATACAAGCTCTTAGACAAGAAGGTTCTCGTTGAGTTGGACTGTTTACATCCTGGACCAGGGTTCTACTGCATAAACTGTCCGGAACAATAATGAGCCCAGACCTCCCCCATTGAACATGTCTCTGGCAATGTGCGTCAATGAAGCTGACTAAGTTGGCTGAACTTGGCCAGATGCTGCAAAAGGAGTTGGACACATTCCCATTCCGGTGGGAGACTCGTATGCATTTTTTCAGGCCGAGTGATCATAAATGAATGTTTGACAAATCGTGGCGATTCTGTGCTCTTTTGATGTTGAAATGTCAAATTTCAGTAGTCGAACAAGAAAGCTGGCGGTCACAGCGCCTAATGTCTTACTACTCTATCGGTTTTAATGAGTTCATTATTGTATTGTCGTAAACTATTAACAGAATCTAATACTTCGATTCTGGAAATGTTAAGTTATTTCCGAATACCCCCAACCTTTTTATGATTATGTACTATAGAAAAGGGTGTAAATTAAGGCTAACATCATTCTAATAATCAGTATAATCACTACACATTTTTCATATCTTCCTTTAAAATGTCGCTTCTAGGATCTTGGTGTGGAATATTCCGTCTGTTGTATCTTATAAAATTGTCGCATTTTGACTTAATATTCACCGACACACATGTATAGTGCGTTTGGCTCAAAAGCGGACCGATGAATTGCAATCTAACTCAAAAACTAATAAACATAGAATGCTCAATGAAACGCTGATCATAATCAAAATATCAGACCAACTCTGTGATTTGTTTGCATAATTTTTGTCCTAAAATTAAAAAAGTTGTTTAACAAACTATCATTAAAATATTGACACAGTTCACTATTTGTTACGAGGGAGGAGTGCAGAGAAAGGGACAGCCAGGTGTTAGAGAAGCACTTGCAAATGTGCCGACAAAGTTATTGATTCATTAACCTGTGCTGTGCCGTCTCCATCCAATCTCGCACACCCGGTTGTCCCTTTATATTTTAATGATAGTTTGTTAAACAACTTTTTTATTTTTAGGACATAAATTCTGCAAACACCTCTCAGAGTTGGTCTGACGTTTTCATTTATGATCAGTTTTCGAGTTAGATTGCAATTCATCGGTCCGCTTTTGAGCCAAACGGACTATAATTAAGGTCAATTTTCAAATTAGCCTTAAAGAATAACCGCCACACGTCCGGTGATTGTATTTCCCCTTTTACACAAGCCTAGTGCGACAATGGTTTCCTGAACCTACCTAGGGCAGTGGGGTAGCCAAATGGTTAAAGCGTCACCTTGTCACGCTGAAGACCCGGGTTTGATGTCCCTGATAGGCAGTATTAGACACAATGTGTGAAGCCCGTTTCTGGTGTCCCCTGTCGTGATATTGCTGGGGTATTGCTAAAAGCGGCGTAGAACCATACTCACTCACTGAACCTACCTCATCATATCGGACCATTAAAATTCTTACATTTTAGGAACCACTTCTGGTCTCTGTTTTTCCCGATTTGGACAACCACATTGTTTTATATAGAAAGACATTCCAGTATAAAGATCGCGTTGTTCGCCCTACTTAAACAGCAGCTATCGTTCACACACCTACTTTGCACCGTCTCATAGGACGTTTTTGCCAAAATGAAAAACATGTTATCTTATCTGCGTTCATATGCCACATATATAAGTCCCTGGGGAGACTCGTTGTCTGAGCCAAGATGTTACCTTTGTTTGGAATACTCCTGAGTAAGTTTTATTGTTGGTGTACAGATTTCTTAAACGAATTAGACCTTTCCCCACCACAAATATTTTACTTTTGTGTTTGTATCCAAACTGTGGTTTATAACTGTTTTAATGACACTAATGGTGTGTTTGCTCCATTCAGCTCTGCGTCTGACCTTGACCTGGGGAGCACATACTGACCCCCACTGTGGGGGCAAACAGGTCATGGTCCATCTGTTTGAGTGGAAGTGGACTGACGTTGCAAATGAGTGCGAACGATTTCTGTCTCAGAAAGGCTTTTGTGGAGTTCAGGTATGTTCCATATATGACTGATCGTGGAGAGGACAACTTCTTTATTGCAACAGATGCGACGTGTCGGTGTAGATGCTAGCGCCGTTACCAAGCAAGTCATGAATAACGATGTTAGCATCCGCACCGACACGTTACATATATTGCAGTAAAGAAGTTCCTATACCACTTTCTAAATGCCCCTTTAAGAAGAAAGGCTAATCTTGTCAATATCAATTCTAAACACATTGAAAAACGTATTGCAACACCGATGATTCTCAACCACTGTATAGCCATCTATACCCATAGTAATGTTTGTTTGTAAGATGATTTTGAAATTGCCTAATATCGACCGAACCTTGAGCTAGACGGCCTTTCAGACTTCCGTTGTTATCCCCAGAGCACAAAGCAGTACGACTATCTTGGTGTCAATCTCGACGTCACTGGAAGTGAAGGTCACGGGGTGTTTCTTGTTTGTTCATGACGGATGGTTGAGCTCGTGTTTGGTATGCACGACGGAATGTCTTGGGGCAATGACCGTTTGGCGTTGCTTCTTTGATGGTGTAGGGGTGCCTCTCACATGGCAGTTAACTTGACCTTATGACGATCAGACAAACGGACAACGGTATATCACTGCCACCCTAGACAGGCTTGTTGTACCACATTTCAATCAGCATCCCCTGATAAAAAGCTAGTCTTCGTTGACGATAATGCTAGGCCATGTCGTGCACGTGCACGTTTCATACGTCAAGAGGCGATGGCAACTCTACCTTGGTCCGCCAGGAGTCAAGATCTGAATCCTACAGGCCAAGCGGGGCAGTAAATGTTTATTTTCATATTTATCATAGGGATAATCATTAGCATTTATCCGTGTACAGATCACCAGTTAAAGATATTTATACACTTTCAATAAACAGTGACACCTCACACGGACAGGGCTATTATAACTTCAGCTGGTCATTCCATTGGGGACAAAGCTGGCACTGTGCAACCGTCCTCTGCAGTGTCTGTTATACTACAATCTTCTCCCGATAGACACTTCTAGTTTTCGCAAAACACCAACGATGCACGAACAAACCCCGCATACATCTCAAAAAATGATATATTGACATAGACTTCTTAAAGTTTGATAAGGATGAAGTTTGATGATTAATAACATCATCTATCAAATATAGTTAAAATATACCGGTAAAATCATTTGTTAAGGCCAAAAGGATCCCAGTTTCATGAAGAGACATGCAGCCAAGTGCACCAGGAGCATTTGTATGTGTCAGTAGAAAACTGTTGCACATCAGTATCACAGAGCACGACACTTGCCACTGAGGTTTAGATCAACTGAATGCATTAGTGCTCCCTCAGCATCAAAGACATCGTTTGACAACCAAAGATTTAGGCAGATGAGCAGACATGCATCAAAACGTCGTTTATGTCGGCTGATCAGCTGGAAATCGATGCATGCACATGGTCGACAGCTTTCCACCACAGCCAGGTTTGTCAGTTAACATTGCTGTAAGAATACAGCACTTCGTGACTGTCCGACTCTCAGAAATGACACGCGGAACAACAATAGCGTTAACATTTCTACTCAGTGAGTGATCGTGCCTGTCAGTCTTGTGACCGATAATAATTAGTATGCATTTGCATCCCACCGACCTGATATTACAGACTGGGCTGAACATGTGGGGAATCGATCCCGGGCCTTCGGCGTGACAAGCGAACGCTTTAACCACCAGGCTACCCCATCGCCCACAAGAGTTTCAGTTTTATTGTACATGACAACTAACCCATCTCACGGCAGGCTGCTAGATGTGGAGTGTTATGTCCTACCCCAAGTATATACGACTGGCTCTGGCCGCCATATAGATGAAATATTGTCGAGTGTGGCGTAAACAACAACCAAAACCAAACCCTAAATCGCAGCACCATACGAAATTACTGGCAGTACCACTATACTGTTCAGGGTAAATAAAACATCATATGCCATTCCACAAACTAACTGCTCTTGTGTCCAGATTTCGAAATGTTTATAAGCCTTACATTTTTAATATTATGAACAACGTATGAGAAAATGATATAAGATTTTACAGTAAGTTCATTTTTTCGTCATTTTACAAAAATATAATCACTATTTTCTGCACAACTCTTTTACACAATTCGAGAAACAGAAACTCTCGACATTTCCCCGTCATTGTAATATAATATATAGTGGTCACCAGTGCTTCTTTAAGAGCGAAATTCGTCCTCTTTTTTTCAGCCAAAGTATCTACATTTCCAGCCTTTGGAAACACACATTTAATTTTACACTGTATGGACAACAAAGATAGTCACTCTTGTGTCAATTGGGGGAGGGCAACTTCGAAATTAGAGCAGCATAATCTTCAAATTTCAGTAATGTGAGTATCATGATATTTTCTTCCAGTTGCTATACATGATAATAAGTAATATTGTTATTATTGAACACAATATAGGTATCCCCACCCAACGAGCATGTGATGGTGACGAAGGAGTATGCCCGTCCATGGTGGGAGAGGTACCAGCCAGTCAGCTACAAACTCACCAGCAGATCAGGTACAGAGGACCAGTTTAAGGACATGGTTCAGAGATGCAAAAAAGTAGGGGTCAGGTAAGATGTATTTGCAATAATGTTTTGATGACCATGGTTTGACTGTTCTGTGAAAGAAATTAGTGACTGATATCATCCACGTTATAATCCAACTAATCCTAAACGATTGCACATGTCGTTGCCACCCTACAGTCATTAGGCGGATGGAAGAGTAAGATGTACGTTAAACGAGTCATCCATTCTCCTCATTCAATGCATTCGAAATAAACCACTAAAAGAGAAATATGTGTTACCTGCAATTTATCAGTATACCTCACTTAAAGTTATAGTATTCGTATTCAAAAGCAGCTTGGAAGTCCTATATTGCAGCGTTTAAAATTATATTATTATTATCAACAACAACAGGTAACATCAAATAGATTCAGATATTCATTTAACTACGCGAACTTCTTCAGTGAACTTTGTTCAGTATAACCAGTAGAAACTGTGAAAGGTAGTGCCTCATTCTTCATTATCAAAATATTTGCAAACTTGCGAGATATTGCTACAGGCCGCTGTCCTTGAGAAGACACGTGTAAGCTGAACTGAACATTATGTTCACTCCGGCCGCGTTCTGCAGCATTAGAAGAGGATGTTTACATCATTACGTACAACTTCTATTGTTACATACATGAGTGATGCACAGAGTGGTAATATACTTCTATTGTTACATACATGTGTGATGCACAGAGTGGTAATATACTTCTATTGTTACATACATGTGTGATGCACAGAGTGGTAATATACTTCTATTGTTACATACATGTGTAATGCACAGAGTGGTAATATACTTATATTGTTACATACATGTGTGATGAATGGTAATATACTTATATTGTTACATACATGCACAGAATGGTAATATGGTAATATACTTATATTATTGTTACATACATGTGTGATGCACAGAATGGTAATATACTTATATTGTTACATACATGTGTGATGCACAGAATGGTAATATACTTATATTGTTACATACATGTGTGATGCACACAATGGTAATATACTTATATTGTTACATACATGTATGATGCACACAATGGTAATATACTTATATTGTTACATACATGTGTGATGCACACAATGGTAATATACTTATATTGTTACATACATGTGTGATGCACAGAATGGTAATATAATGGTAATATACAGAATGGTAATATACTCTATATTGTTACATACATTGTAAAATACTTATATTGTTACATGTGTGATGCACATGGTAATATACTGGTAATATGATTGTTACATACATGTACTTATATTGTTTACATGCACAGAATGGTAATATACATGTTTATATGCACATACATGGAATGGTAAAATACTTATATTGTTACATACATGTGTGATGCACATACATGTGTATGATGCACAGAATGGTAATATATTGTTATATTACATGAGTGATGCACAGAGTGGTAATATACTTCTATATTGTTACATACATGTATGATGCACAGAATGGTAATATACTTATATCGCTTGGCTGAACATTTCACATGTTATTATTGTCCTCCTATGAGGAATTGAAGAGTTAAAACTTGCATACTGAAGAAGTCAGTTCATCTAGACAGTCTCATTTCTCTTTCTAGAATTTATGTGGACTCTGTTGTGAACCACATGGCTGGACTGGGTCGGACGGGTACCGGCACTGCTGGGAGTCAGTTTAATTCTGATGCCTATGACTTCCCGGGAGTTCCTTACAGGCGAGAACACTTCAACACGCGCAGTAAATGTCCTTCAGGTGACGGCAATGTCAACAACTACGGAGATCCAAACAACGTCAGGAACTGCAACCTTGTTGGTCTCACCGATCTCGATCAAAGTATCGAGTATGTGCGAGACAAGATTGCTGGCTTCTACGATCACCTCATTGACCTGGGTGTTGCTGGCTTCAGAATCGATGCTGCGAAACACATGTGGCCTGCTGACATAAAGTACGAGAGTAATTGTACTAAGTATTTATATATAGTTAGATGTGTCACCTTTACGATTGGCATACAAACACACAGTAACTGATTATGGATATATTAGAATATCTTTGCTGTGATTATTTCCTAATGTAATTCTACAATTTTGTATATACTGCTTAGAACGAAGGAAGTGCCTTCTCTTCTTCATTAATAAGTAGTAACACTGACAATGTCGGGGCTCCACAGTAACTAACTGGAGGTTAGTAGTGGTCAGACTGTTGTAGGGTATAAATCAACATATACCTGTGTTGACTTTACAGTTTTAGTAAATAATCTACACTTGTAAAGTGATTCATTTCATTATCACAAGATGTTGATATTCACATGCTTGCATCTAGGGCTATTCAGGAACGGATGAAGGATCTACCAGAAGGTGGTAAAGCATTTTTCTTCCATGAAGTAATCGACCAGAATGACGGTGCAATCAAAGTGAACGAGTACTACGACTTGGGCTATGTGACTGAGTTTCGGTACTGTCAAAAGATAGCTTATGGAACGCATGACTTTGGTCAGCTAGGTGGTGTTGTGGATTATGGATGGGGTATGGCAGACTCTGCACACGCCTTCGTCTTTGTTGATAATCACGACAATCAGAGGGGCCATGGTGGCGGCGGGAACCTCATCACCCATAAAACACCCAGAGATTACAAGATGGCCCAAGCGTTCACTCTGGCCTACAACTATGGGTTTGTCAGAGTGATGAGCAGTTACTTCTTCGGAGATGATTCTGAAGCAGGTCCACCTCACAACGCGGACTTCTCTGCCAAAGATGTCACTATTAATGCAGATGGTTCATGCGGAAATGGCTGGGTTTGTGAGCACAGGTGGGCTCCCATTGCCAACATGGTAGCGTTCAGGAATGCTGTAGCTGGGACAGGCATTGAACATTGGTATGATAGTGGGGACGTCGTTGCCTTTGCCAGAGGCAACAAGGGCTTCTTTGTGATGGCAAAGCAAGGCAATCTGGACCAAACATTCCAAACAGGGCTCCCAGCTGGAGAGTACTGTGATTTGGTGCATAACTGTCAACAGAAGATAACAGTGGATGGCTCAGGAAATGCTCATATCCACATTGACAACAATGATGAACCCATTGCTGCTTTTATTGTTGGTATGTTTATTGTGTAGTACTTCTGATTTGTAGTTTGGTGAAATACTGATATTAGTGCTTGAGGGGAAACTCGGTGTCGTATCAGATTACTTCATTCGGTTGTCGTTTATCAGCAATATCGTATTCCTTTCTTAATAAATCTACTGATCAATTGTGTTAAGATGTTAAAGGTGTATTTATAATATATACTGAGTCAAAAAAGAAACTTCACAAATTGTAATTTTAAAAAATAATGAACACTTTTTCTCTGATGATACATCTATGTATCCGAAATGGGATCCCTATCTTTCGACTCTAGAAAAACGTTAGCAAAACCCCCTAAAACCCATCCATTCGTCGTGCAAATGACGTTAGTGCCAAATCAGGTTTTGCACGTGCAGTCGATCACGTGATCTTCGCGTCGAAGTTTTCTTCATATGGACGTGTTTGCATTGGCCTCAAGAATTGAAAAAAACGCTTTTAAACCACAGTTCTAACGGTACTTGAAATGCCACGATTGTCAAATGTGCAACGTGAAAGTGCCGTTGGCATGTTGCAAGCGGGAAGATCAGTTATTGACGTCACAAGAGGAATGGGATGCAGCCATCGTACTGTGTATGACTTGCGAGGTCGTCTACAACAAACTGGCACCACTTCTGATCGCCCAAGGTCGGGTCGTCCACGTGTGACGTCACGAGCAGAAGACCATCAACTCGCCCTACGTCACCTACGTGACAGATTTCTGCCGGCTACACGAACCAGGGCTGAGACGTTTAGAGGTCGACTGTCCTCACAGACCATCCGAAATCGGTTGCGGGCTGCGAATCTCAATTCTCGACTTCCATATCGTGGGCCAATATTGACGCCGTTTCATCAACGTCAACGTCTGCTGTGGGCCCAACGTCACCTCCGATGGACCCAGAGAGACTGGAATCGAATCGTCTTTAGCGATGAATCAAGGTTTACCCTCAGATTCGCGGACGGCAGGCATAGAGTCTGGAGACGACGTCGTGAACGGTATGCCCAATGTTGTGTACAGGAAGTCGACAGATTCGGGGGCGGAAGTTGCATGGTGTGGGGTGCTTTCTGTGGGAACAACCGTTCCCGACTTCTGGTCATCCGTGGAAACCTCACAGCTGCTGCTTACCGCGACCAGGTGCTCACCCCTGAACTCGTTCCTTTCATGGCGGCTCATGGCCCAGGTCTACAGTTCCAGCATGATAATGCTCGGTCGCATACTGCGATGTTGACACGAAATTTCCATCAAAACGCTGGAATCAGCGTCATGGACTGGCCATCGAGACCCCCTGACCTTAATCCAATAGAGCAAGTTTGGGATGCCCTTGGGAGAAGGCTTTGTGGTCTTAGGAACCAACCTCAGAATTTGCAGGAACTTGGCGCTGCCTTGCAAGAGCAATGGCGCAGAATCCCCAACCACGTGTTCACTAGCATCAGGCAGTCGATGAGGAGACGGTGTTTGGCAGTGGTGAATGCGCGGGACGGCCATAAACAATACTGAACTGAGAAATTTCGAATTTTTATTCTTGTGACTTGACATTCTGTATACCCATGTTTTGGAACGGCGATGTAGCCTAAAGGAACTGATTATGGCACTGTCAGTGTATCGAGTACATCACACAGATCTCAGCAATGAAATAATAACAATTTAACCATCTTACCATCTCTTGTTCTTTTATAGTGCCCTGAAGAAAGAATGAAGTTTCTTTTTTGACTCAGTATTATTTATATTTTGATGCGGTGCTGAAGGTGGTGCCAGTGGCCCTACACACGGCAACACGGTAACCCATGGCAGCAGCATGGGTGGGAATACCAACCCTGCCGCCACAGACTCCCCCACTACAGCTACCCTAACTACAGCAGTCCCGGCATCAACACCAGACCACAACACAGGCAGCTGGAAGAAAACTATTATTCTGGTGCAGAGACGGACTAACCCTGGACAAGACGTGTTCTTAAGGGGAGGCATTGATCATAGTCATGTCAACGGTGGGTATACAAGTGATCAGTTGTAAATCAATCAGATCTCAAAGGGGAGGTTGTTTTGATAAGTTTGTGTTACGTAATTCTTCATGCATACACTTAACATTTGTTGTTGCGGTTTTGCTGATATTTTAAAATTGCATATATTGGCCTTGTCCTTTAATATGGCGGGACGAAATAATGCACGTTTGAAAACGTGTGTGTGATTTATATTCCGACAGGTTGTTCCAGTGACGTTACCACAAGCCCATGCGCCATCCCAATACGACACACAAATCTAGGCTCCGGTGTCCACTTTGCAAGCTACAATGCCTGGAGCAAGGGAGACAACTATCTGGATTGGTTTGGTACTGAGCCAGGTCAGGGTACATACAATGGCAGAGTAGCAGAGGGGACTCCAGCTGTGTGGACAACAAACAGTCAGAATAGACCAGAATACAACAAATACAACAAGTATGTAGAACATTCTACAACATCCACATCCAGAATATTCAGGTGATGTGTCCAAATTCCAATTATCTGATGAAAGAGTATGTGGACTGTTGCAACTATATGAATTGTTATATATAGATGTGTGTTATAAAATTTGATTTAAACTCTGAGTAGAGGGTCACAGAATATACAACCTATAATCGGTTGTCAGAGTTGGTCGTCCTAGGTAAAACATGCCCTCGTCGACCTAGGTAAAACATGCCCTCGTCGACCTAGGTAAAACATGCCCTCGTCGACCTAGGTAAAACATGCCCTCGTCGACCTAGGTAAAACACATGAGTAGCCCGGGTTCGATTCATAAAAAGACAAGATTTTAGAAATCAACCAGCAAATAATATCGTTGTTCACTTGTGCATTTGCTGATTAGATAGCTGTTCACTTGTGCATTTGCTGATTAGATAGCAAGAACCGGTCTACATTCAGCTCAATTACTGATTAGATAACAAGAACCGGGCTACATTCAGCTAAATTACTCATTAGATAACAAGAACCGGTCTACATTCAGCTCAATTACTCATTAGATAACAAGAACCGGGCTACATTCAGCTAAATTACTCATTAGATAACAAGAACCGGTCTACATTCAGCTAAATTACTGATCAGATAACAAGACCTCGTCTATATGCAGATACTGTACTGGTCAGATAACAAGACCTCGTCTATATGCAGATACTGTACTGGTCAGATAACAAGACCTCGTCTATATGCAGATACTGTACTGGTCAGATAACAAGACCTCGTCTATATGCAGATACTGTACTGATCAGATAACAAGACCTCGTCTATATGCAGATACTGTACTGATCAGATAACAAGAACTCAATGAATGCACACCGCTGTGGTGTGTGATGGTTGTTTTCAGCCTTACACCGCCCACACGTTCTGTTGCTGATCTAGTTGTTGTGTCCTTCCTTTGTCTTGCCCGTCAACCGATAACTTTCTGTTTGTTCCAATATCCACTATTTCACAGAGAGAATACAAATATGCAAGTGAGTTCGGTCAAGTCTATACAGGGACCATATCTATTATATGGTCTCTGGTCTATAATCCCGCTTCGAACAGTACTTCAGTTGAAGGGAAAGGAAAGCCCTGAAATCAAAGACGTTCTGATATTCCGTGTAAGTCCATGACAGCGGCATGGTGCTGATCTGGAAACTTGGACAGCCGAGGGATACAATCTGAGCGAAGAGAGGCGCCCGTTTGACCAACAAATATATCACGGTTGGGCATTCTTGTTCTGTTGTAGGTATGGAGAGCACTACTGGTTGGTGGAGGTCGATATGGACTGTTCAAAGACGGTGAACAGTTTCTTTGAGGTGAAGGCTGAGGTGAACGGAGCTTGGGAGGGTATCATGTACGGGGACAAGTGTTCTGGTGCAGGTGCCGTAGATCCCCCGTATCAATCCCAGAACCACATGGGCCGGTGTGGGTACGTCAATGTCTTTCACTGGGACACCAGTACTTGTGAAATACTGCCTGTGTAAAAGACGCAAGATTAAAGAGGAATAAAGTTCATTTGGAAATGTGTACATGTGTGCTCATCAGTATGTGAGAGAATGATAGCAGGGATCAGAACTTTAGTCGAATTCCTTTTTACATTTGCATATGATAAAACATACCGTATATGAAGACACAATAACACACTTATTGCCGTAGACACTTCCGTATACGTGGGCACTGCCATTCATTCACTGATGTGTATAAGGGCACAGACAGACACTACCTGCCGTAGACACTTCCGTATACGTGGGCACTGGCATTCATTCACTGGTGTGTATAAGGACACAGACAGACACTTACTGCCATAGACACTTCCGTATACGTGGGCACCGGCATTCATTCACTGGTGTGTAGAAGGACACAGACACTTACTGCCGCAGACACTTCCGTATACGTGGGCACTAGCATTCATTCACTGATGTGAATAAGGATACTGACAGACACTTACTGCCGTTGACACTTCCGTATACGTGGGTACTGGCATTCATTCACTGATGTGTATAAGGACACGGAGAGACACTTACTGCCGTAGACACTTCCGTATACGTGGGTACTGGCATTCATTCACTAGTGTGTATAAGGGCACAGACAGACACTACCTGCCGTAGACACTTCCGTATACGTGGGCACTGGCATTCATTCACTGGTGTGTATAAGGACACAGACAGACACTTACTGCCGTAGACACTTCCGTATACGTGGGCACCGGCATTCATTCACTGGTGTGTAGAAGGACACAGACACTTACTGCCGCAGACACTTCCGTATACGTGGGTACTGGCATTCATTCACTGATGTGTATAAGGACACGGAGAGACACTTACTGCCGTAGACACTTCCGTATACGTGGGTACTGGCATTCATTCACTAGTGTGTATAAGGGCACAGACAGACACTACCTGCCGTAGACACTTCCGTATACGTGGGCACTGGCATTCATTCACTGGTGTGTATAAGGACACAGACAGACACTTACTGCCGTAGACACTTCCGTATACGTGGGCACCGGCATTCATTCACTGGTGTGTAGAAGGACACAGACACTTACTGCCGCAGACACTTCCGCATACGTGGGTACTGGCATTCATTCACTGATGTGTATGGGGCACAGACACACACTTACTGCCGTTGACACTTCCGTATACGTTGGCACTGGCATTCATTCACTGATGTGTATAAGGATACTGACCGACATTTACTGCCGTTGACACTTCCGTATACGTGGACACTGCCATTCATTCACTGATGTGTATAAGGATACTGACAGACATTTACTGCGGTAGACACTTCCGTATACGTGGGCACTGGCATTCATTCACTGATGTGTATAAGGATACTGACAGACATTTACTGCCGTAGATACTTCCGTATACGTGGGTACTGGCATTCATTCACTGATGTGTATAAGGACACAGACAGACACTGACTGCCGTAGACACTTCCGTATACGTGGGCAATGCCATTCATTCACTGATATGTATAAGGGCACAGACAGACACTACCTGCCGTAGACACTTCTGTATGCGTGGGCACTGCCATTCATTCACTGGTGTGTATAAGGACACAGACAGACACTTACTGCCGTAGACACTTCCGTATACGTGGGCACTGCCATTCATTCACTGATGTGTATAAGGACACAGACAGACACTTACTGCCGTAGACACTTCCGTATACGTGGGTACTGGCATTCATTCACTGATGTGTATAAGGGCACAGACACACACTTACTGTCGTAGACACTTCCGTATATGTGGGCACTGGCATTCATTCACTGATGTGTATAAGGACACAGACAGTCACTTACTGCCGTAGACACTTCCGTATACGTGGGCACTAGCATTCATTCACTGATGTGAATAAGGATACTGACAGACACTTACTGCCGTTTACACTTCCGTATACGTGGGTACTGGCATTCATTCACTGATGTGTATAAGGACACAGACAGACACTTACTGCCGTAGACACTTCCGTATACGTGGGTACTGGCATTCATTCACTGGTGTGTATAAGGACACAGACAGACACTTACTGCCGTTGACACTTCCGTATACGTGGGTACTCGGCATTCATTCACTGATGTGTATAAGGATACTGACAGACACTTACTACCGTAGACACTTCCGTATACGTGGGCACTGGCATTCATTCACTGGTGTGTATAAGGGCGAAGACTCACACTTGCTGCCGTAGACACTTCCGTATACGTGGGTACTGGCATTCATTCACTGGTGTGTATAAGGGCACAGACACACACTTACTGCCGTAGACACTTCCGTATACGTGGGTACTGGCATTCATTCACTGGTGTGTATAAGGGCACAGACAGACACTACCTGCCGTAGACACTTCCGTATACGTGGGCACTGGCATTCATTCACTGGTGTGTATAAGGGCACAGACTCACACTTACTGCCGTAGACACTTCCGTATACGTGGGTACTGGCATTCATTCACTGGTGTGTATAAAGACACAGACAGACACTGACTGCCGTAGACACTTCCGTATACGTGGGTACTGGCATTCATTCACTGATGTGTATAAGGATACTGACAGACACTTACTGCCGTAGACACTTCCGTATACGTGGGCACTGCCATTCATTCACTGGTGTGTATAAGGGCACAGACTCACACTTACTGCCGTAGACACTTCCGTATACGTGGGCACTGGCATTCATTCACTGATGTGTATAAGGGCACAGACTCACACTTACTGCCGTAGACACTTCCGTATACGTGGGTACTGGCATTCATTCACTGGTGTGTATAAGGGCACAGACAGACACTTACTGCCGTAGACACTTCCGTATACGTGGGCACTGGCATTCATTCACTAGTGTGTATAAGGACACAGACAGTCACTTACTGCCGTTGACACTTCCGTATACGTGGGTACTGGCATTCATTCACTGATGTGTATAAGGACACGGACAGACACTTACTGCCGTAGACACTTCCGTATACGTGGGTACTGGCATTCATTCACTAGTGTGTATAAGGGCACAGACAGACACTACCTGCCGTAGACACTTCCGTATACGTGGGCACTGGCATTCATTCACTGGTGTGTATAAGGACACAGACAGACACTTACTGCCGTAGACACTTCCGTATACGTGGGCACCGGCATTCATTCACTGGTGTGTAGAAGGATACAGACACTTACTGCCGCAGACACTTCCGTATACGTGGGTACTGGCATTCATTCACTGATGTGTATAAGGGCACAGACACACACTTACTGCCGTTGACACTTCCGTATACGTTGGCACTGGTATTCATTCACTGATGTGTATAAGGATACTGACCGACATTTACTGCCGTAGACACTTCCGTATACGTGGACACTGCCATTCATTCACTGATGTGTATAAGGATACTGACAGACATTTACTGCCGTAGATACTTCCGTATACGTGGGTACTGGTATTCATTCACTGGTGTGTATAAGGACACAGACAGACACTGACTTCCGTAGACACTTCCGTATACGTGGGCACTGCCATTCATTCACTGATGTGTATAAGGGCACAGACAGACACTACCTGCCGTAGACACTTCTGTATGCGTGGGCACTGCCATTCATTCACTGATGTGTATAAGGACACAGACAGACACTTACTGCCGTAGACACTTCCGTATACGTGGGTACTAGCATTCATTCACTGATGTGAATATGGATACTGAGAGACACTTACTGCCGTTGACACTTCCGTATACGTGGGTACTGGCATTCATTCACTGATGTGTATAAGGACACAGACAGACACTTACTGCCGTAGACACTTCCGTATACGTGGGTACTGGCATTCATTCACTGGTGTGTATAAGGACACAGACAGACACTTACTGCCGTTGACACTTCCGTATACGTGGGTACTGGCATTCATTCACTGATGTGTATAAGGATACTGACAGACACTTACTACCGTAGACACTTCCGTATACGTGGGCACTGGCATTCATTCACTGATGTGTATAAGGGCGAAGACTCACACTTGCTGCGGTAGACACTTCCGTATACGTGGGTACTGGCATTCATTCACTGGTGTGTATAAGGGCACAGACACACACTTACTGCCGTAGACACTTCCGTATACGTGGGTACTGGCATTCATTCACTGGTGTGTATAAGGGCACAGACAGACACTACCTGCCGTAGACACTTCCGTATACGTGGGTACTGGCATTCATTCACTGGTGTGTATAAGGATACTGACATACACTTACTGCCGTAGACACTTCCGTAAACGTGGGTACTTGGATTCATTCACTGGTGTGTATAAAGACACAGACAGACACTTACTGCCGTAGACACTTCCGTATACGTGGGTACTGGCATTCATTCACTGATGTGTATAAGGATACTGACAGACACTTACTGCCGTAGACACTTCCGTATACGTGGGCACTGGCATTCATTCACTAGTGTGTATAAGGGCACAGACTCACATTTACTGCCGTAGACACTTCCGTATACGTGGGTACTGGCATTCATTCACTGGTGTGTATAAGGACACAGACAGACACTTACTGCCGTAGACACTTCCGTATACGTGGGCACTATCATTCATTCACTGGTGTGTATAGGACACAGATACACACTTACTGCCGTAGACACTTCCGCATACGTGGGCACCTGCATTCATTCACTAGTGTGTATAAGGGCACAGACTCACACTTACTGCCGTAGACACTTCCGTATACGTGGGTACTGGCATTCATTCACTGATGTGTATAAGGGCACAGACACACACTTACTGTCGTAGACACTTCCGTATACGTGGGCACTGGCATTCATTCACTGATGTGTATAAGGACACAGACAGTCACTTACTGCCGTAGACACTTCCGTATACGTGGGCACTAGCATTCATTCACTGATGTGAATAAGGATACTGACAGACACTTACTGCCGTTTACACTTCCGTATACGTGGGTACTGGCATTCATTCACTGATGTGTATAAGGACACAGACAGACACTTACTGCCGTAGACACTTCCGTATACGTGGGTACTG